ATTTTTAACAGTTATATAAACAAACCGCATAGAATGGGTTATAAATGTACAGCAGGTTAATTCAAATATTGAATAAAATCACAAGTGTGTCAGAAAGCTACACACGTGGCATATCAGTAAAATTTGGAAACGACAAGGGTGGCGCAATGGCAATATGTAATGTTCTTCGAATCACTTCTATTTGGCAGCATACGAGTAAATAGCAAAAATGGAAAACTTCTTTATCATCGTTGTGATTTGAAAGTTTATGAAACGAAAAAGCGACAGCAAAAAGAGACAGACACATAAATTCATAAGATTTAACGTGGGAGAAAATGAGATAGGAAGCATTATAGATAGCTCAATGCTCGCGAGATAAAAGTCGTAAACGCTGCCTAAACAGCGTCGCTTACGCGTTTTACAAGATACGAAGGTGTCGTGTGCCTATGTGCCTATGGATGCTTGTGCAGTGAAAAACGGCCAAACCTCAACTTCGTAATAGGTAAAATTGACATAAATCTTTTTGTAATTAGTAAGTACTATATAGGGTACATCGAAAAGAGTAATATAATATCTGTGTCTTGTATATATATTTAAAGGATTGTTACATTATTTATCTTAATCTTAATCTTAACATATATAAATTACGTGTCACGTTGTTTGTCCGCGATGGACTCCTAAACTGCTTAACCGATTTTAATCAAATTTGCACACCACGTGCAGTTTGATCTAACTTGAGAGATAGGATAGTTTTTTTTGCCCATAAGTGACCCACAATTTTTTTTGGCGAATTTAAGGAGTTCTAATAGGACATGACAAAGGTCGTCGAAAAGGGCAGAACAACGTCTGCCATGTAAGCTAGTTTACTATAAAATTAAATTTTCTTATATTTTATTCCGAACTAGTAGTTTAAATTATATTAAATAAATCATTTAAAGTATTTGTATTTTATATTTCACATCATTTGAAAGTTTCACTTCTGTCGCGTGTGAGCTACACGCATGTTTTTTTAGTTTAGGTATTTAGTTTAAGGTAGGCATAGGACTATAGTTTTCATTTAATTTTTTTTTATTTAATATCAATAATTGGTGGTGGTGCTTGCTTATTTAGGGCAATGTCTTATTTGTTGTATGGAAACCAAGTATTGACTAGAGAAATTCGGGAGCAAATTAGGAATTACGTTATTGCAGTCATTTTGTTTTTATTTATAATATAAAACACAAGCGTACACTTTGCCCTATTCGTTTCTTGGTTCGTTTGTACCAAATAATTGAATGTTTTTATTCAGAGTAATCAGTTCAGAGTATCTTTCTAAGTTTGCGGGACAGTTTACTTTACAAATAAAAATTTGCAAATTTGTTTTCATTAAAAGAAATTAAATGTATTTCTTTTGAAAAAAAAAATAATTTTATACGCTTGGATACTGATTCTGATAACGCACTTAACGGGTACCACAGGGTTTTGTCACATGTTGTATAAGCTACTTATATTCTTTAACGAATAATGACACTTATAAAACAGTCAGTTATTAAGATAGTTATCATATTTTCTTCTAAACCCGGTTTCATAGCTCTCATGAGTAAATGAAAATAAAAAAGCCCTTGCGACAAAATACTATAAGTATCACAGGAAGCAAATTTTACTTAAACAAATATTAATTTTAATTTTAACTATGAATATTATTAGTAGTATTGATAGAATTTTGAAAATCATGTCAAATCCGTTAATCGAACCGATCCAAACATAAATTCATAGTATGTACTTATGCAATACGTACATAGTACATACCATGAATATAATAAAGTAAAATGTTAAGAACATATAATACATAATAAAATATTTTTAAATGTGAAGTTGGTTGTCCCACGTTGAACGTCCTACCCTAAAACCCTCTACGACCTATGCCCAGTCGTGGGACCTAAGCCAATGGGATATATAGGATATATAGGCCTCTATTTTTTACTTGTATGGACCGCTACTATTACGCAGTTTTTATTTTATTTATTATTTCGGAGATATTACATTTTTGGTTTCATGCGACCGCAATCATTAACGGTAGGGAAGATGAGTATAACTCATCTCTGTTATCTTTACGGTCTATCACAAGTCCAATCCTGAACATTAGTCTCACCTCTACATTGCCTCATAGACTAGATATTTGTGGCAGTTGCTACCAACCGCAGTTTTTTATTTTATTCAGTCGTCGTAAAGAAGATGCTGCTGGTTTTCTATCACCCACGCAGCGATATGAGAAGTGGCTTATCTTACGATACAGCGAATTCAATTAATATAATGTACCCACGTTCATGAATGTAGTTATTCTCACGTTCACCGTAAAAAGAACTACATTTATGAAACTTATTTTAAAGTCTACTCAAATGTACAGTACCAGTAAGATTAATTTTATGGAGCCAATAAACATTCAATAGGGTGAAGGACTTATGACAATGATGCCATAAGTAAAAATTTACCAACAAATTTAAAATTATTTTACCAGAACAGAGTGAAAATTGTGATTCCAAAACAATTTAACCTTTCATAAGCATATATACCGCAATTATGCACATAATGCAATTCTGAAAAAGTCGCTCGCGTCCGTAGGCTTTGACCACCTAATCCTAGGCCCACCCTACACGTGTCCCCCGGGTGGTGCTAAATGAGCGACAAGCCGATAGCACAGACTCGGCTCCTCGCCGTGGTAGCGGTGTTAAATATACCATCCCATTCGCACCATGAGGAATCAGATTAAAAAAATGGCCCCGAGTTCCCGGCGCCCCTTTAATGGGGCAGGGGTGCGAAGAATCTCCGGGAGGAAAACCGGCGACGAGGCTCGCCACCCGTCACGTTCTGTCTCCCGGAGGGGCGAAAAGTGGATTGCAGAGGCCCGTCTGGCTACGTTGAATGTATGTGGAGCAATGAATGATAAAATGGATGAAGTATGCGAGGTGATGTATGATAGAGGAATAGATTTGTTATGTGTAAATGAGACGAAACGGAAGGGGAAGGATGTCACTACACATGGCATGTATACCGCATACTGGTCTGGTGTAGACGAGCTCGAGCGGGCATGCCAGGGAGTAGGTATCATCCTATCAGAAAGAATGGTGCAATGGGTGAAAGAGTATGAATGTGTAATCCCAAGACTGCTATGGATACGATTGAAAGTGGGCTTAAAGAAGTTGTTTGTACTAGGGGTCTACGCCCCAGACATGTCTAAGCCCACTCATATCCGAGAGCAGTTTTGGGAAATGGTAAGGATGGTATTAATGAAATGTAAGGGAAATGAAAATGTTGTTATGCTAGGAGATTTTATGGAAGAGTTGGGGTGAGGAGGCTTGGTTATGAAAGGATATTGGGAACGTTTGGTGATGAAAGTATAAATGAGAATGGTGAAAGCCTCCTCACTGTATGTATGGAAAAGATTCTTTTTTGTGACGAACACTTTCTTTCGCCACAAGAGTATTCACATGTATACTTGGGAAAGAGGTGATGATAGAAGCATGATAGATTTCATAATTGTGGATGAAAGATTGAGGGGCGCAGTGGTGGATACAAGGGTTTACAGGGGGTCAAACGTAGGAACCGATCATTTTTTGGTTTTATGCCGAATTAATGGTCTATTCAGGCAGTGGCGCCATCGGTCATCTGTGTCTACCACTGCGTTACAGCGTATTAGAACAGAAAGATTACAATATGAAGGTGAGAAAAACAAGTTTAAATGTAGACTGAAAGAAAACGTAAGTGGTTTGGATGAATTATGTATGAATGAGTTAGACTTGGAGAATGTATGGCAAAATGTTAAGAAAGGTTTAGTAGATGCAGCTACCGAAGTATGTGGTGTTAGTAAAAGAAAGAATGAAAGGAAAAATAATACTTTGTGGTGGGATAATGAGATACGTACGGAAGTTGAAGCAAAGAAGAGAGCATGGCTAGATTTACTAGCAACTAAGGCTGGTAATTCTAGCGGTACGAATGATGATTTTGAAAGAAAAAAGGCAGTCTTTAGGCATCTAAATAAAAGAGTAAAAGAAGTAGTTGAAAGGAAAAAGCAAGAAAGAACGAATAAGAATGATAGAAGAATATCGGATAACTTCCAGGCAAATATTAAAATGTTCTGAAAACTCGTAAGAACTGCCAGGGGACGTTCAAAACAGCCTATAATGAATGCTATAAGAGATGAGAATGGCTATATTCTGAATGATGAAGTTTTGAGTTTAAAGAGATGGAAGGAATATTTTGAAAGCATGTTTATGAGTGAGGAGACAACGTATGAACTGAATGAAATAGGAACTCCGAAAGAAGAGGAAGGAGGTATCGAGATAAGTATAGATGAAATAATGAAAGCAATGAAAAGCATGAAAGCAGGTAAGGCTGCCGGTTATGATAGAGTTTCACTCGAAATGCTAAGGGCTGGAGAGGAAGTGGTGGCAGGCCTGCTGCACACCTTGTTTAATGTATGCTGGGAACTGAAGCGGGTACCGGGAGACTGGTGCAAAGCCGTGATAGTCCCAGTATATAAGGGAAAAGGGTCGCAGCAGGACTGTAAAAACTACCGCGGTATCAGCCTTCTTAGCATCGTGGGAAAATTGTATGCCAAGGTACTAATTGAAAGGGTCATAAAAGAAACCGATGGAAAAATTTGGGATGTGCAAGCGGGATTTAGAAAGGGAATGGGATGTACAGATCAAGTCTTCTCCATGCGCATGATCGCGGAGAAGTTTTTGGCCAAAAACCAAAAGGTTTTTTGTGCGTTCATGGACTTGGAGAAGGCCCATGACAGAGTGGATAGGAATGTGCTATGGCAAACACTGAACTCATTTGGATTGAGCGCTGGCTTGATACAGGCATTGGAATCTCTTTATAGGGACTCTAGTGCTTGTGTTAGGATCAACGGGGTCTACTCCGACTGGTTTGGCATCCATAAAGGTGTCAGACAGGGCTGTGTGGCTTCCCCGTGGTTGTTCAACCTATTTATGGACAGTTGTTTGCAAAATTTGAAAGTTGAAGAATGCGGATTAAGAATGGGTGAGTTAACCATCAAATGCCTTTTGTACGCCGATGATCAAGTTATTCTTGCGTCGTCGGCGGCTGAGTTGCAAATGATGGTTACATTAATGAACAGATCATTAAAAGAAAGGGGTATGAAAGTGAACGCAAGTAAGACGAAAATTATGGTTTTTGAAAGAGATGAAAGTAAAACGATATGTGAAATAAGAATAGATGGGGAGTTGATCGAGCAAGTAGATGAGTTTGTATATTTGGGTTGCGTATTTAGCAGGGATGGGAGATATGATAAGGATATAGAACGACGAGTGAACGCAGGAAACAGAGTAAATGGGGCCCTGCACTCTATTGTGAAGAGTCAAAATGTGTCAAAAAAGGCACGTATGGCAATTCACAATGCTGTGTTGGTCCCTACTTTAACGTATGGTAGTGAAAGTTGGGTGTGGCAGAAGAAGCACGAGAGTAGAATAAATGCAGTAGAAATGCGGTCGTTAAGGAGTATGTTAGGGCTGAATCTGAATGACAGGGTGAAGAATTGTGTGATAAGAGAAGAGTGTGGTTTGCAAGATGATGTTGTGACCAGGATTAAGAAAGGAATGCTTCGGTGGTTTGGTCATGTGGAAAGAATGGATGAGGAAAGAGTGACAAAGAAAATTTATGTTGTAGAAGTGAATGGCAGAGTCGGAAAGGGACGTCCTAGGCGAAAATTTATCGACCAAATTGGCGATTTATTGAAAACGGGCCAAATTAGGAGTACCCTTAACCGACGAGCATGCATGCGTAGATGTATGGATGTGAAGGAGGCGAGAGAGGTGTGTCAGGATCGTGCCAAATGGAAGTCTGTAGTCTCTGACTACCCCTCTGGGTGACAGGCGTGAGTGTTTATGTATGTAATGAAAAAGTCACTTCTGCATTCATATAGCATATAATAGGTTACTATGTCAAATTTCAATCACTTACGTCATATTGTCTCCAAGAAAATCCTCACTAAACTAAATCAGTGATGATGTTTCTAAATTGAAGCATACGTAAGCGAAGCCGCGATTAAAACGCTAGTTGTTCATATAATTTTCTCTGAAGCACATTTTTGGCAGGATTTCTTCGCACATTAAAAAGCTGATTCTGATGATGTTTCTGTTTTGAAGCGATTTTCCGTTTCGGATATTTTTTCCGAGGCGCAAGAACCCTCCTAACAAAGAACCTTCCGAAACGAAACGTCGTTTCGCAGTGATCTATCGTTACAGAAAAATCATCCGTTTTAAGTGGTCTTCTTTTTCGGAGGAGTCTTTCTTTTCGGAGAGGTTCTCCGTTTTCATTTCGGGAAAACCATCAGTTATACTTCAACCTTTATGTTAAGTTTACGCACACTCATTTGTTTTTCTTGTATCAGGTTACCAAAAGAAACCAATATTCCTGCTACAAGCTGCGTTGATGATACCGAACGTGTCAGTTAAACCGACACTAGAAGAAATTCAAGATGTATTAGTGCTTGCAGGAAAGCACATAACGGGTCTATCAAAAGGCGTTTCACAATGGACTGGAGGAAAGTCATCTAGGGTAAAACTATTAAAAATTGTCACTGGGAAAATAGCATAGACTAATTATAATATCATCCAGAAGACAAAAATCAAGAAAAAATAATACGAAATGCTTTTTTACTTACGAATTATTTTAGAAATTAACAAACAAGCGAGCACACATTCTACATAATGTTAAGTGAATGCTGTCATCCATAGATAGATATAAAATGTTGTCATTTCTGAGAACTATGATAATACCTCGTTACTAGTGGAAAGGGTTTTCGGTTCTCTACACACAATTGTCAAATACAGTATTGCTAATTTGACCTCAGTATATCAAATTGTCAAAATAGTATATTAAGCTTAATTCTGTGATTGTGTTCATTATAAAAATGTAAATCCCAGGTATAAAAATACATTCTTCTTAAAGGGTGTATAAATAAAACAGCTTTAATTTTAGTTTTGAGATATGTACGTAAACTTCATTGCATTTTGCATTATTCTATATCTATTAAACTATTTACGTAGTTCAACGTAGCTGATTAGTACTTATTCTAATAACAAAATATTCAAATTTGTTTTTTTTTCAATCTGTGATGTTAATTGTTTTGTATTGTCTGATATTTTGCACTCTACACTTCTATGTCCTCGATGGTGTTTCCGTCCGCAAAATATTATATTTATTTTCCAATTGATTTGCTTCATTCAAATTAACAATTTGCTTTGCACTCGGTGTGCTTCATTTTTATTTCTATCGTTTTTCAATGTAAATATCACTTTGGATTATTTTCTTTATTTTGTATTACTTTTATTTGCTTCTGTATTGGTCTCTTCGCACGCGATCCCAATCCATCCAGGTGAGCTGGAAGAAGCTGGCGGGACACCATCCGAACCAGTTGCTAGAAGTAGTTACCAAGCTTGACGAACAGGTGCAATCAATAACAAATACGGCGCAAAGGTCTTTGAGGATGGTTGAAGCGACGAAAGTGAAAAAGAAGTACTACAGGTTGGAATCTGAAGAAAAACCGGTATTCCCATTGCAACAGAAAAACTTCTATAGTCACGTCATGGAAAATAAAGAAATTGTGAAAACATTATCACTATTGTCAACGTGTACGCAGAACATTAAAACTGTAAGTATTATTTCATTTATTTATTTATTAAAAGAACGTAAATTGTTTTAACATAATATAACACTGCATCATAAATGGATCGAGTAGCAAACCTAATTTATCGCATCTTCTTGGATACGTTGAAGGTCGTGGTCAATTGCAGATTTAAGAAAAATCCACTAAATGATCAAACTCAAAATGTATTTACTCAAAATATGAAGATATTATTAAATATAGTTAATGTTACAGGAATTAAACATATTAGTAAAGCGCTGGAGGCCATATCATTATTTGTGGAAATGCGAGAAAACTCTCCGCCAGTTGTTGGCTTGGAATTTAAATGATTTTGAATTGGCTTTAAAAAGACATAGTGAGTTGGAGGCGAAGTTGGCAACGGAACCGGATGTTTTAATTATAGGAAACTGTTTAGCAGTCTCTACAGAAAAACTTAAATTAGGACTTACTACTGAACTTAAAAGTGAGCCACTTAAGTCATTAATTTATGTTTATGCATTACTAATATTTCTGTTCATAAATGTTTGCGTAAAATTATATCGATTCTGTATTATATAGCTCTTTGAGCCAGGGCTAGTATGATCCATTCGGCATACGCTTTATTATGGTTATAGCACGAATGGGTCGGCTCGACCGGGTAAGGACAATACTCCCACAGAATACCAGTGTAAAATAGAAGCATAATATTACTGTGTTTTGTATGGTAAGCGACGATAACCAGAGAACCTTTTTACAGGATACGAAGCATTTCATCTTAGCATTCAGGGGTGACAATGCATCTACGTTTTGATTCTGATTCGAGGATAAAAGTAGTTGTCTATGGGTCACAGCATCCACTTACCATCAGGTGGACTGTGAGCTCGTTTGTCACTCTTATTCTATAAAAAATTCCGGTGGTGGAGGTAGAGCAGATATAGAGATAACAGATATTAAATTGTCAAAAATAAGATTACAATAATATATCCTAAAACAAATTTTGTAACAACGTAGGTTCAACTTTCTAAAAACATTATTGACGCGGCTTTATTGTCAATCCTATATTATACTGCCTCATATTTTAGATGGTACATACAGGATAAGCCAAGCTATGCGTAAAAAGTACAAACGTGAGATGGACTACGTGTATGCTATAATGAATGACTTAGAGCGCAAGTTGGAGCGGCCTATTAGAGATTTAGATGATGTTAGAACTGTAATGGAAACATTAAAGAAAATCAGAGAACAAGAAGTTGATATGGAGCTAAAAATTGATCCAGTTGAGGTAATTTATATTACTTAATTTAAAAAAAAACTGTTATTGATATTTTAAAAAAATAACAGTTTCGAAAAACTAAGGATTATAGTTTAATATTATGTCTTTACCTATAAAACTGCCTTTCTACAGTACTGGCCGTTTCAAATCAAAATAATTTTTGCTTGGCTATCTAATTTTAAATAAATTTTATTTTAAAACTTGGAATTCTTTTTTCAAAATTAGTCACGTGTTTATAGATAAGCGTTATGTTTTCATCATATTTGAATCTTTTTTGTCATCATGGATACTTTTTCGAGTAAATATGGAATATGAGTACCGTCGTGGCAGCAACGCGGCACAAGCGGCACGCATCATCAACGACGTTTACGGAGCGAATACTACAAGGGACCGCACCACCTGTTATTTGTTTGTCCGCTTCAGTTTTGGAATTTTCAAAGCTGATGATATGGCTTAATTAGCAGCAGCTTTCTACGTTAGCATCGAAACAATATTTATCCGCTTACTTCGAATTGGCAAGGTATTGCCTTACGAACTCAATGATCGCCAGCACGAGGTACGCGTCGAGAGGTGCTTGGCACTGCTAAACGGTCACACAAACCAATCAATTTTTAACCGCTCTTTAATTGCGACAAAAAATGGATTCCGTTTGAAAATCGCAAGCATTCAGCAAGTTGTTTGGATCATGGTTCATCACTTAACCAATGACCTAAAAGGAAATGTACCGCTAAAAATGTGTTGGTCACTGTTCGGTGGTCTAGCGCTGGTATGACTTATCACAGCTTCGTACTAAACGGGATGAGCATTACTGCAGAGGTATACTGTGACTGTGAAGAACTGAACACAATGATGGAGAAGCTAGCCCGTCTCCCATCAGCTTTGGTCAATCGCTCGTCCCCGCTGCTTCTGCAAGTCAACGCGCAACCTCATACTGCACAACAGACGGTATCCAAGTTACAAAAGCTGGGGTTGGAATCTCTCCATCATCTGCCGTGCTCACCAGACCTTTCGCCTACAGACTTCTACTTTTCCAGAATTTGGATAGCTTATTGGCGGGAAACAAATTCCATACCCGAGACCCGTTCCATACCCGGCAGTACAAATGCCTTTGAAGAATTTGTTGCGTCTCATCCAGCCGATTTCTTCAAGAAGGTCATCAATAAACTGCCACTGCGTTAGCAAAGAAACATTTACTGCGTGGTTGATTAATAGAAATAAAAAAATTTAAAAAAAATACGTTAAGTTATTTCATTAAAAAACAGCAATTTCATAGGTAAAGACCTGATAACTTCTCTTATATTTTAATAACATGACCGTCTAATTTTTTTTATTATAGGAGGCATTCAATGTCATAACGCGCTATGAACTCCCGGTCAGCAAAGAAGATATGGAGCAAGTGGACAATCTCCGCTACAGCTGGCAGCAGCTACAGGCGACAGCCCTCGCATCCCACGTCCAACTGCTGAAGATGCAACCGCAATTCGAGGAAGATCTCAAAAACAACTTGGATAAATTCCGTGAAGACAACGCCGACTACTGCCACGAATATAGGCACGCGGGTCCTATGCAACCTGGGTTAAGTCCACGTGAGGCGTCAGATCGTTTGATACTATTTCAGGTGAATGATTATACCATGGTATTAGATTTTTGTTAGTTTGCCACAAAATTATACTTTTTTCATAATATCTTCATCATTTTGTTTTATTTAAACAATGCCAAATTTTACTCAGAATCTTCTTTAACCAAATCTCTTGTTTATTATAATAACTCATGGATGGCCATCTTTTTTTTTTCATTTGAAATAATTATTTTATTTTATGAATGAAGTAGATTGACGAGTTTCTTTTTTATCAGAATCGATTTGATGGAATGTGGCGAAAACTGCAAACTTATCAAAATGGTGAGGAATTATTCGGACTACCTCATACTGAATATCCAGAACTCGCTCAAATCAGAAAGGAATTGAATCTGCTACAAAAACTATATAAACTATATAATGACGTCATTGATAGAGTCAACAGTTACTATGACATACCGTGGGGTGAAGTCAATATAGAAGAGATCAATAACGAGCTTATGGAGTTCCAAAATAGGTGTAGGAAATTGCCTAAAGGGTGAGTTTATAAATTTTAAGTTAAAAAAGCTAGAAAAGAGATCAATAACGAGCTTATGGAGTTCCAAAATAGGTGTAGGAAATTGCCTAAAGGGTAAGTTTATAAATTTTAAGTTAAAAAAGATAGCAGTGTTATAAATATACATTTAAGATAAAAGGCTATCATCTCACTGGGAGAAGATAGCGAACAATTTTACTGTGGTAACCAATATTTCGTTTTCATAATTACGAAAACGAAATTATATTTAATAATTTATAAACTAATTATATTCAATGTGAAAAACATCATGAAAATTTGTTTTATGTCCCATGACTAGTTAGGAAATCAAAAATCCATCAAATATAAATAAGATTAAAATGTATACTATGATGAAATTTCTGTACAATTTGTAATAATTTCAAGAAGTAATTTTTCATAAATCCTCGAGGCTTCAAATAGCATGTGTTTGTTTATAATGTATTTTATACATTGTATCATTCGAATTCATTCAATTTTATAGAATTATTTTTCGTAAGTAATTTTTTATCTAATTATAGGTTAAAAGAATGGCCCGCATTTTACGCCTTAAAGAAAACAATTGACGATTTCAACGACATGTGCCCACTACTCGAGTTGATGGCAAACAAAGCTATGAAGCCGCGTCACTGGCAGCGTATTATGGAAGTCACCAAATATAACTTCGAACTTGATAAAGAAGATTTTTGCCTAAAGAACATTTTAGAAGCACCATTATTGCAAAACAAAGAGGATATAGAAGTATTTTTTTAAATTACAATAATTTCCATAAAATATTTCTCGGATTATTTATTACATTATTAATAAGACCATTGAATAATGTGTACTGTACGAAGTATACATGTTGTACTTCAATGATTAAAACTGTATTTATTATACCAGTAAAAAAGTCCCGAACTTGGTAATGGGTAATGATGTGTTTTAAAACTCATCCTTACTCTATTTGTAAATAACCTATATTCTAAGCTTTAAGTTTGAAATTCTTATATGTATGTATGTAAAATCAATTATATATATAACAATATTTATCTAATGGATTTTTTGGAAACAATTATGAAAATTTTGATTTCTGATTTTGATTTGGTGTTATCCCTGAGAAGACAAAATTCTTCAAAGTTATTTCTTCGTTGTTCTCTATTACAAAGAATTCCTTAACTTTATCAATAAACGTCAAGTGAAACTGCGTATTATGTCGTGAAGGGGTATACTTCAACCTTAAGTACTAGGAGAACATAAAGAATAGATAGTCTTAGCTAAAAAGAATCTTAACTTTTATGGAAACTTTTATGGAATCGCTCTTCGTATTCGTAAAAAGTAGCTAATAAAACATAAAGTTAGTCTGTGCCCAGCATTGGGACGTATATAGGCTGTAACTTTAACTTTTACAATGTGCATATACTGTCAACAGGATATTTGTATCTCAGCGATGAAGGAAAAGGATATAGAAGCTAAGTTGCGTCAAGTCACAAACGAGTGGTCAGTACACGAATTAACCTTTCAAACTTTCAATAACCGCGGCGAACTGCTGCTCAGAGGCGATACGACCGCAGAGACCATCGGCCAACTTGAAGATAGCCTTATGATTTTAGGTTCCTTGTTATCTAATAGGTAATTTCAAAACATAATGCTTAAGTTACGTATATAATATAGAACAAAGTGCTTACATTTTAATACATATAATAATTATATCGTAATTATTAAAACACATATAAAACAAATTTAATTTGGTATATGTAGCTTTAGTATCCTGCGGCTAAAGAAGTAAGGGGAGGGGTGACCCTCTTAGCTTTTACATTAATTTTTGAAATTTTATAATAAATAAAACAGTTTTCTAACATAAACTTAGAAAAGGATTAATTTTGATATTAAATTGAGGTACGGGCGGAGAGATTGTAGTGGAAAAGAGTTTCACCCCCCACCAATTCCACCTGCTGGAAATGCGTAGTCTTATAAACAGAGTGTGTCATATACTTTGGTATGAACCCACCTGTGAACGGATGGCCAGAGAGAGAGAGGGAGTTTGAAACCACTAGCTTTTACGCAAAAATTACACTAGTAAGCATTTCGTAAATATCCTGAAGAAGACTTCCGGTTTTCATAAAAAGAATTTTATGAAAACCGGAAGGATCGTAAATCAATTAAGAGTAAAATAGTGCCAAATCATGCCGTGCCGTTCAAATGCAAACCTATCGGTATAGGAAGAAAAATCAGAAGAATTAAATATGTTTTTTTCGTAGGTTATTCAGTGAAATGAATTTACTCCCACCAAAGCCTTTATGAGCAATTAAGATATAATTGCTAATTATGTTTAATTCCTTGCAGATACAACGCACCATTTAGAAAGCAAATTCAACAATGGCTGTATGATTTGCAAAGTACTAATGAAATTCTCGAACGCTGGTTGCTGGTGCAAAACATGTGGGTTTATTTGGAAGCGGTATTCGTTGGAGGTGACATTGCGAAGCAACTGCCAAAAGAAGCAAAACGCTTCTCAAAAATTGATAAATCTTGGCAAAAGATCATGCAAAGAGCCCATGAAACACCGGGGGTTGTCTCTTGTTGCGTTGGTGATGATCTTCTTAAGCAACTTCTACCTCATCTACAGGAGCAATTGGAACTCTGCCAGAAAAGTTTAAGTGGGTATTTGGAAAAAAAGAGAACTATGTTTCCACGGTTTTTCTTTGTGTCGGATCCCGCCTTGCTTGAGATTCTTGGCCAGGCATCTGATTCACATACGATACAAAACCATCTGTTGTCAATTTTTGACAATATTAGATATGTGAAGTTTCATGATATTGGTAAGTGTTTACAAATATAATATATATTTCTAAATATAAATGATACTAGCTAGCCAGACAGACGTTGTTCTGCTCTTTTCGACGACCCTTTGTCATATTCTATTAAAAATCCTAAAATTCGCAAAAAAATTTGTGTGTCACTCATGGACAAAAAAAACTATCCCATCTCTCAAGTTGGACCAAACAGCATACGGTGTGCAAATTTGACTAAAATCGGTTAAGTAGTTTAGGAGTCCATCGCGGACAAACAACGTGACACGTAATTTATATATATTAAGATATGTTTTCAACCTATCTTTCAAGTAGTTTATTAAATAAGAATTAAGTAAATAAACAATTAGCATAACAAGTATTAAAATATTTACAGAATACAACAAAATGATTGCCATTATTTCATCGGAAGGTGAAGAAATCAAGCTTGAGAGACCAGTACGAGCGGAGGGTTCGGTCGAGACGTGGCTAACTTCCCTTTTGCAATCCGCTCAGAGCAGTTTGCATTCCATTATACGCAATGCGGTATCACTGCTCAACGACCCTTCTTTCAATATGCTGCTCTTTCTTGATAAAATGCCCGCTCAGGTAGTATTATATTAAATTTATAAAACTAGCTTTTAGGGATTTCATCGCGCTTAATTAGCATATTTTTTATAATCCCGACGTTTTGAGTACTTTGCTATTATTATGGTATACTTTGTTTACAGTACTTTAAAATACTATAAATACCTTCCATTTACTTCTGCGTAGATCCGACCAAAATTCATTTTATAAGTCGAAGGTAGGCGTGGATAACTATGATATTAAACCCATCAGTCTTTACCAGAATAACCTTTATAATTTTATATCCGCTATTTGTCTGTAATGGATTGATGGAATGAATAAATATCATATCGCACCTCCAAAATAATGTTCTCAAAATAGGCTGATTGGTAAAGAACGCCTTTGGATGTTGAGTCCGCCTTTATACATTTTGCAATGGTCTAAATTAAAAAAAGTTCAATATTTTTTTATTTAAATAAAAAAATAAAGTAATTGAACAATATACTAAACTTTGTACTTAATTAATTAACTTAAACTATATTTTTTTAAATCAACCTTAACTGTTCAAAATTTTGTACTTCTACTGAATTACAATAATCTTCTCCAGTCCGAAATCTCAATAGAGACTAGCCATCTACGCAGCACAGGATTATAGTGCCTGAGCGTACGCCAAAACAAAAGTGCACTTTCTAATCCATCATTCTCATAGTCTGTTAGTAAGTACTGTTATCTGATTTAACGGGAGAGAGATTGGGTGCAGGATCAAGGCTTGACGTACTATCCGAGACGCGGGTATGAAACTCCGACAACTTTCTGTCTTCAGGCTATTAAGAATTTCTCGACAGTCACTGAATAATGAATCAGTTAAACACCATCAAACCTTGCACTACATAGGATTGTTCGACCATAACAAAGATAAACATAATGCATCTGTAAGCCTAAACGTAACGTAACTGCAAAAGAAAACATTACGAATCATTCCAAGTGCCGCTTTTTCAACTTTGAACGATCACTACGACAATCAGCGCCGGTGTGTACATGCGCAATACGCGGTACAGGTAACTCATGAAAAGTCCTATATGATATCTTTTAGCTCTTCTGTCGGCCTAGTATCGAATAAAGTTTGGTCTTGTTTTCAAACTTTCAGCTTTCATTCGAGTTTGTTGACATTTTAGGACATTGACTTATTACTTCCTTTTGAAATCATTGTTTTAGGACCTTTTTTTTTACTTTTCTTTAAGTAAAAAAGTTAAAATTTTTAGAATAAAGTTGATTTTCCTTTTATTTCTTACACTTTCTTCTTTCGGTTTAAATGCCACGCCTCGATAGTGTTGGTGGTTAAATGACGTACGCCAGAAACAAACTAAACAAAAAAACGTGATATGTTCACAATTATTTAAAAGTTTAACTTTAATCTATAGCTTATATACTCGTATGTTGTATTTTTTGTTAAACTTAAACCCGATTAACCTGATTATAATTGTATTTACTTATGCTATATTAAGGTGAAGATGTTGTTTATATTTAATATTGTATTAGTTTAACGTTAACAAATTCTTGTACCTACAAGGTAAAATAAAATTATTACTTTTCTCAAAAGGTTGGACTCCTGGGCATTCAGATAATTTGGACAAGGGATGCTGAACTCGCGTTAATTCAAGCAAGACAAGATAAAAAGATCATGATGGAAACAAATAACAAGTTCTTGGAACTTCTTAATACACTAATAGACCAGACCACGCGGGATCTACAAAAGATAGAACGAATCAAATTTGAAACGCTAATTACAATACACGTTCATCAAAGAGATATTTTCGACATGTTGGTAAGTAAAGAATTAGTTAAGAATTTCATCCAATAGCCAGTAATAGATCTAGTTGCTGGACATAGGTTTTTAAATTTCTTGGAATGATTTTCCATAATAGCCACGCGTGGCAGGCAGATGGATGTTCGAAATGCAAGGACGATAGTACTGTTGCGCGCTTAAGTTGACGTCATGTACCCGGCACTAGTGCCGGGGATGAGAGCGAGGGGAGCTTTCCAGAAAATGACATTACTAATCTTTCAACCGACAGCGCCATCTAGTATCGAAACGAAGAACTAAGCTTCTAGAAGCCCGACACTCGAACTTTCGACGCCTTGTCGATTGGCGCGTGTATTTACTTGAATATGTTTCGGTGATAATGTGTATTTAAAGGCGCTGCAAGATGCGATCGAGGAAGCATTGAATTTTGCGGGACAAGCGAAACTTCGGAGCGAAATAAAGTGAATCAATGTGATTAATTATTAGTGTTTTAAATTTTAATTAGTGTAAAGTGAATTAAAGTGTTAATTTTGGTAATTCAATCGGCAGTTGTTATTGTCACGAACCCTAAGCTCGTAACAGTACGAAAGGCGCGCTCGCACTTTTGTCGCTGCCGCCCGTCGCTGATCTAGGTATTTTAAAGTATTTCAAACTTTGTTCGAAAGTTGTAATAAAATAAACCAGCGAAACGCATTTATTTACTAATAATTACTTTATATTATCTATCCTTAATATGAACAAAATATTTAGGTACATTATATTTATTTAACTAGCTGCAATTTCATTACAGAATCTCGGTGTTTTATAGAATATTTTCCGGAGAGTGTGCGCGGAATTTATTAAATAACTTTATTCCTTCATACCCCTTCCGGTGTCGGATAATACAAAGTTCAGCGCGTTTCCATCACTTTGTAGTAGTTGTTCCATGCATTCGAATTAAAAAGTTTCGTCTTACGAAATGCGTATAGCGTAAGTGAAATTGCTAGCGTTTGTCTTTGCGTCCTATTATAATTTGGGCGGCTGGCAGCATGTGGATGCATGGAACCGGATTTATTTTGTGCCGGAGATCGGGCTAAGTGGCGCGTCTGAAAGAGGTGTATGTTCAGCAGTGAACTGCTACAGGCTGAAAATTATGATGATGATGATAATTTGGATGTCTTGAAGGCAAGTTTGGACAGAATTTTGTAGCCCTAGACAGTGCGATTAACCATCTCGGGCAGCACCACCACTTACCACCACGTGTGATTGTAGTCAAGCACTGGATCAATATGAGAAAAAAAAACGCAAATCCAGAATTATACTAAAACCAAATCAGAATTGGCTGTTAAGTTATTTTTATTTCATCAGGTCAAGTTCTATAATATCAGTTAAATCAGTTAAACATATAGAATTATTTAAAAGTTAATTGTAAAAAACGAACAAGCCTTACAGTAGTCGTATATTAGGACGTGTAACATCTGACATTTCACCTTGGTAATAAGGAACATTAACGTTATATTCTGAAAAAAAAATTATTCAGATATTATTTGAGACGAGTTTTCGTAGTGAAAAATAATTATTTTTAATGAACTTTGTATTTTATTTAATTAATACTAGGAGTAATGCAATTCTTTATTGAAGACATTTATTTTTGTTCAATTTGAGGGAAAGCGGAGGCAATTACCAACAGTAAATACATTTATTAATAAAATTTTACACATATAAATTAGTTCATATAACAGCACAATATACACAAAACTGTAATGTGTATTTTCTATTTATCTTTCTCTTTCTCGTCACACATACACGCACAAACTGTTAGCTGATACTATCAACCTCTCGGAAAATGCATTGGTACCATCTGATCTGAACTCGAACACCGCGCGTGTTCATTGGTCAATTCAAATAACGCGCCCTGCCCCGGCTTCCTGTTACACACTTCAGTCCCTTTTCACGAAATCACTCCCACAGATTGCAGTAAAGCGATGGGAAAGATAATACACATCAAAAATCGAACTTTAATATTACATAATATACTTATACCATATCTTAATATGTATAAATTACGTGTCACGTTGTTTATCCGCGATGGACACCTAAACTACTTAACCGATTTTAATCAAATTTACACCCGTGTGCAGTTTGGTCCAACTTGCCCATGAGTGAAGCACAATGTTTTTTGCGAATTTTAATAGGACATGACAAAGGGTCGTCGAAAAGAGCAGAACAACGTCTGCCTGGCAAGCTGAAACTAATATATTTCTGTGATGTTTTCAGTACTAATTCCTAAAATGAACATCATAATAAAACTCTTTCTATTTATTTATTTTTAATTTCAGTGTCGTCTGAATGTGCGGTCAGCGAACGACTTTGAATGGCTTAAACAGTGCCGCTTTTACTTCAAGGAGGACGCTGACAAAACTTGGATATCAGTAACAGATGTAACCTTCACTTATCAGAACGAGTATTTGGGATGTACCGAAAGACTGGTCATTACACCATTGACAGACAGGTAAAATATTTTTATTTTTAGATTTGAAATTGCAACACGCTAGTCTTTTAGTATGAAGAATAGGATAGGATATCTTATGAAGAAATAAACCACGGGCAATAGACACAGCTCAAACAGGCTCAAAGGCTGAAATAAACAACTGTCAGCTTAAAAGCGCGAATTCCGACCACTGATGAATTAAACGGATGCTAGTGTAGCAGGTAAGACAAAAACTCACCGATCACACTCTTAATCTTATGGCTGATAGACGGGAAATGAAGCTGCAGCCTTCAGCAGATTTGGCAGCATACAGGAAACTGCACAGACAGATCTCCAAATACATGCGGCGGCACTTACGCAACTTCAATACAGCTCGTATTGTAGAAGCGATTAAGCGGAACCAGGGCTCCAAAGTCTTTGCCAGTGATTTGTCTGCCAGAAAGAGCCAACTGTCGAAGCTGAAGACCGAGTATGGTAGCATCGTTTCCTGGACACCAGAGATATTGAGTAAGATTGAGAGGTTCTATGGGCAGTTGCACACGTCGTCGTTGGAGCCACACGCAAGTGTGAGTAACAATCCAAGAGCAAGTCTTATCCGACACTATTCCGAGAATATCTCGGACGTCAGTTTGAGCGAGATTAGAATGGCTCTCCAGTACCTTAAAAACGACAAGTCCCCGGGCGAGGATGGAATTACAGCGGAGCTTCCGAAAGTGGGTGGAAAACCGGTACTTGAAGTCCTTCAGAAGTTCTTTAATTCCGTACTCCATGGTGGCAGTAGTGCCCGAGGCGTGGAGCAGAAGTGAAGTGGTGTTGTTCTTCAAGAAAGGTGACATCGCCGTATGAGGACGCTCAAGGTCGCTCAGCGAGCTATGGAGAGGGCTATACTTGGGGTTTCTCTGCGTGATAAACTTAGAAATGAGGATATCCGCAACAGAACCAGAGTGACCGACATAGCCCAACGGATTAGTAAGCTGAATAGGCAATGGGCCGGCTATATAGCTCGAAGAACCGACAACCGTTGGAGAAAAAAGGTTCTCGAGTAGCTGCCTCGTACCGGTAGGCGAAATGTAGGGCGACCCCCCACTAGATGGAGTTACGAACTCGTAGGACGTGCAGGAAGTCGATGAATGCAGGTGACTCAGGACCGCGCTTTGTGGCATTCCTTGGGGGCAGACCTATGTCCAGCAGTGGACTTGTGAAGGGCTATAATGATGATGATGATGATAAAGATAACGATTTAAAATTTATTATTTAAACGTTTTCAGATGCTACATAACGTTAGCGCAAGCGCTTGCGATGAGTATGGGGGGAGCACCGTGTGGCCCCGCGGGGACTGGCAAGACCGAGACCGTAAAGGATATGGGTAAAACCTTGGCGAAATACGTTGTGGTCTTCAATTGTTCCGACCAAATGGATTACCGGTAATAATTATATTAAAAATAGATAATGAATAAATTTTATCTCAAGGAAGCAAACATACAAGTACACCCAGATGTGTTCTTATGGATTTACAGATGCCAAAACATTTAAATTTAGAAACGCTGTCTTTCTTGTCTAGACGGATTTGGATGGGACTTTTGCTAGTGTTACGTAGAAGTCAATCTGTTAGAATATATTATCTGTCTGTTTATTATTGTCCGTCTATTATAGGAACTGGACAGTAGGCCTAATTGTAATAGTGTAATATACCCTATAATGTACAAACTAGACAAATTAAGATGGAGCTGTCAACACTTTCTTACATTTAGGTACTATATTTTGTTTTTAGTAGTTAAGCCAATACTTATATTTATATCCTTGGCACGATAGACTTATGCCAATATAGCTTGCTAATAACAGGTTCTTTAAAGGCCATTACTTTGTATTATATAAAAAAAAAACAATTCCAAAATTGATTCTACAAAACTAACTCCATAAGATGAAAATTTGATTTTTAAATTTAATATCCGTATTCAAATAACTACATATTATATTGTCACATTATGTATGTTATATATATACAATATTCTGTCTAGAGTCAGAGTAACATGTGTGCACCTCTTCTTGATTTATTTTAACTTGGTGATTTTTCGTTTAGTTAATAAACTTTTCCTCAAGATATTTTATTTGAACCTCAAAGTTGCCAATAATGTACGTGGAATAATTTCTGAGAAGAATGTGTGTGTATTGTTCATAATGGCATCATTCTTTCCATTTAAAAAAGTTTCCAAAAAAAAAACTTCTATTCCATAAAGCGCTAAAAAAGGATTAATATAATGATTTGAATGAAACCATTTTTATGGATTTTAATGCGTTTAATTTAACTTTTTAATTCCCGACGTTTCGGGTGCTTTCCAGCACCCGTTGTCACGGGGGACTGAGGTGACTGACGTCCCGATGATAGTGATAACCCGGAGTACCTTCACCTTTTTAATTATTATTTATGGTGCGATCTACACAGAATGAACTTACTGTTTCTTGAAGTCTTGCAGTGGTATGCTTGGGCTTAGTTTTAATTTTATTAATTACAGGATCCCAAGCAGGTGGTAGTAACCAGCCTCCTTCTCTATTGAAATGAGGATGTTTTTTTTAAATTTCAATAGCCTCACGTATCATCATTGGTAGGAATCGATGTTCTTTCACGAGAATATGTGGTCTATCAAATCTAATAAACTAGCGGGGGCCGTCTAGGATATTATCACAAATTGCAGACTCCCAGAACGTCAGTACTTCACGTTAGCATTATTTTCCTTTACGCGGGTTCTAATTGATCTTTTTGTTTGCCCTATATACGAAACTTCATTCACAATCAAGCTTGTACATTTCTGCGTCTTGTAGAGGAATATGACATTTGACGGATGGTAATAACCGACTAATCTTCTTTAGCGGCTTGTAGAATGTTCTTATAGAAGCTCGCTTCAAAATATAGCCAATCTTGTCTGTGACACCTGTGGCATATTATGGTAATACACACGCTTGATTGTGACTGGCTGCACTCGGTCACTGGGACACAGGCACGGTAGCCGAAGCTTGTTGGCATTCAGAACCTGCTTGACCTACTGAAGCTCGGCGGCCAGGTGTTTGCTGTCACAGATCCCTCGTACTCTGTATAACAAAGATTTGCCCACGGTAGAGCTAACTTAAGCGCGATAAAGTAAACGCGATAAAATCCGTAAAAAATTTGTTTCATTTAATAAGATAATCTTTTAATATTAAATAACTTTATATTTTATATGTTTACACTTTAAAATATGTGTCTCCATCATTATTTGGTTTTATCATATTAATCTTTCTTTTATTAAACATTGATTTTCTCATTACTACTACAAATATAAATATATATATATATATATATATATATATATATATATATATACATATACATATATATGTGTGTGTGTATGTGTGTGTGCGTTCTATTTTACTGTTTTCTTTATTTCTTAGACCACGGAAAAGAGTTAAATATTTAAAAACTAATAAAAAATCGAGCTTGTAATATTGACATATACGAGTACATATATATCAATTTTAGGGGTCTAGGCCGCATATACAAAGGTCTCGCCCAATCAGGCTCTTGGGGCTGCTTCGACGAGTTCAATCGCATCGAACTGCCCGTCTTGTCAGTGGCGGCGCAGCAAGTTGCCGTCGTTCTTGCTGCCAAGAAGGAGAAGAAGAAGACCTTCCTCTTTACTGATGGCGAAATGTCCGACATGTGCCCCGAGTTCGGTATATTTATAACTATGGTAGGTAAAAAATATTTTGATGAAATTGTTAGACTTGAGAATTTTTAATAGTAATATAAAATAAGGTAAATACGGCAAATATGAGCTACCTTAATTCAAAAATCAATATTTTAAATATTTAAACGATACGAATAAAAAACAAGACACTGGACAAACATTTTCTATATTAAAAGTTCAAAAAAGGTCAATCTTTTTGTTTCTTACATAATTTAACTTAACAAATAAGTCCCTCTTGTATCTAAAACCCTCTTTGTGGCCTTTAATAAACCCAGATGGTTAAAAAAGGACCGTATCAAAATACAGTTTTATTAAGTTTTATCAATAAGAACACAACGTCTTCTTTTTTCTGCTAATATAAATTTTCATTTTCTGACAGATTTTCGCTTTCGACAAATCCCAATTAATCAGAAAAACATCGATGAGCCTTACTAGAATAACGTCACAAAAAATTACATAAAACTGTATTAAATAGCTGAATATTCCAAAATATTCATATTATTGAACAATTTGTTCAATAATATGCAAAAGCACAGAAATATATAACATTTTTTTAAATATAAAATCTAACATTTTGAGATTAAAATGAACTATTATCACAAATAACACAGAAGTCATAACTGACACTGCAAAAAACTAGTTTTTCTATTGGTTAACTAATTGCACATAGGACATCTAAAATCAATATCACACACATCCCTCGTGGAACCGTTAAAAAGGAGACTTTACGACTTTATCTGCTTTCAATCTCGATAATGGCAAGTTGTCTTCTGAACCTCTTGATGTTGAAGAGGTATCACATACTTCTTATGTTTCTGAATGCTTCTGAAGTCTTATGTTATAGATATCGTTACTCGTTCTCATCTTCTTGAGAGTATGTTCTTGTCTTGATATAGGGTCCATATTTTCATCTTTAGAAGAACTATATATGTCACGGATATTATTAGGTACAAGTTTTTCGTGAAACATGTATTTCAACAAGTCAGTAATAGATATATCAGATTCAGAGCGGTAAATTATCGTTTGCCTTATTGTTGCGTCAGACTTGCTTAGTCCTGTTGGTAAGTTTGAATTTACAAGATCAAGATCTGATAAGCTGTAATCAACTAAACGTCTTTTTATCTCTGCACTAGTTAAAATAGGCGACAATGAGTCATTCTGATGTAGCACACGTAGTGAATATGGATTATGGACTTCAAAAAAGGTCTTATCACAATCTAAACTATTAACACCAGGACTTTGCACTGCATGCTCTAAATTAATACCACTGGAACCAAGAGTTGGCGAGTTTTGTAAAGACGGATAAATTACTTGCTCTTCAAAAAATATCTTCTCAGAATCTGAACTATTACTAGCAGATCTTTGCGATGCGTTTCGTAAATTCATATAACTAGGACCAGCTTTCTGCAAGGATCGATCGTTTTCCGTCGTTACGTTCTCTACTACTATATGTGTTTCATTCAATGCAGATGGTGCATATGAAGAATATGCATCTGGTATTGCAGCTCAATTATAAGGACACAACTCTGTACCTTTGAACCAACATACTATATTTTTGAAGGTCATACATTTTGACCAGACTCAACTAAAATGTAGTTGAATCGCGCTTTGATTAGTTTTTTCTCTGGGTTTTGGTAGAAATAAAGAAAGCCTTCGTCGTCCCAGTGGTATTCAAACGATTTGTTTACGCTTTTATCTAAAGGCTGGAGCTCATGCGTAAAGTATTTGATGGTAAGCAGTACAATACAGTATCGTGTTGCTCTATTATAATCTAGATGACATGAAGCACCATCAAAAACTAGAAGACACATGCCAGACGCTTTATATTTTCCCAAGTGATTTTTGAAATCTACAAACAGTGATGAAGTCATGCCGTCTTTCTTTACCATTTTCACGATTGATCCTGATGGTAAATGATCATTAAATTTCAGCTTTAGCATTTTCCCTTTGAATAATATCATTAGGGGAATCGGACTACCTAATGCATTTACACATGCAGCCACAGGAACATTCTTTGCGTGGTCTGGTGCAACCATATGCACTCTTTCAGTACCTTTCTGTGCCAATATCATTGTCTGTGTTGTGAATAGTGTGTAGCAGCCTTTTTCATCCGTGTTGTGTAAGCGTTGCGATGTTGCCCGATCTCTAGTTATTCTTATATTTTCTTATATTCAGCAAAATGCCGCATGACAAAAGGCTTGTTCAGCTTCTACGCCCTTTCAGGCTTTAAAATTTAAACCTTGTGCCTTGATATATCGGGATGTGTTTTTAAAAATAATTTTAACCAGTCTTTACCAGCCCACCTTGCTGTCGGATTAAAATTATTATAAATTTTGTGTTGTTCACAAAACACATAAGCTTGACGACGAATGACATATGGCGTTAAGGTCAATCCAACAGCAGGCTATTCAACGTACATTTTATCACCATTTTTGAGAGATTTTAACAAATGAGTGACGCAGATCAACTGCCAGGACGGCTTCTTGGCTACAGAAAAGATAGTGAATCGTACAATCACGCGTCCGAGTAATAAGGCCTCTCTATTGGTCCTTTATATGTGTGCGTAAGCGCTATCTAATAAATACTCCAAAAATATATACGTTGGAGGTATGTTTTTTTAGTAGTGGCTCTTGCAAAATGTAACTTTGTTGCGACATTCGGTCACGTCGAAACCGCTAACTCGTCCAAGTCCTAGGATCAAACGATTATATTTTTGTTATGGTTATCCAAGTCGTTGTATGTCAGATGGTTAGCGCTTGCTAGTAGTAGTAAATTTCACAGTATGCGAGCAACCCGAATTCGATACCCACCAGCACCAATGAAATCGTCAATTAACACGTGCTCGGCGATGAAGGAAAACATCGTGAGGAAACCTGCATGTCTAAGAAATAAGAAAAAATATATTTCGCTACGGGGCAGTGCGACGGACACTTCCTTGCCCTAAAATCCCTCTCAAAATCATAGAAGGCATGTTGTTCCCAGCGTGGGTCGGCTGTAACTTAGCTTTTTGGTTATCTCCCATGTTTCTAAAACTGCAGCCTCCTCCGATCTTATCACACAAAAATACTTGAATAAAACTAGACGTGTTTAAGCTTACATTACGAGTCGTCACTGAACAAAAAGTTCGTAAATATTTCCGACGCCTAAATAACACTTATAGATGAGCTCACGAATTGTATAGCATCACTTAAACATGCTAATGTAATTATTTTGAAGAAGCTTAAAGACAATTTCTCTATTGCAAGCTTGTAAAATAGGTTCACAACGATTTGTTACTGTCGCGGTTTTCCCGAAAGAACGAAATAACAACCGATAGACACCACTGCAATTTAGTCGGATTACAAATTGGTGATATCACCAACACATATTCTTCGTTTAATTCTCCAAATTTGGACGGATTTGAATATAAAAGCAATATGAGAGAGAATGTATGTTTTGTTTAATTTTTTATGTACTTAATATTGTGTTCTGAACATAGGTTACGAACGGCGGTATAACTGGGCAATTACAGTGATTTTAGAAGATTTCTAGAATTTTATAGACCACAAACAGAAGTATGGCAGTAGCTGGTAGATGAAGATTGAATCGTAAAAAAAATGCTTTTGCACTAGGTGCGTCATACAGGGCAAAAAAGGCCTAAGCTTGTAAGGACTAAACGCCACTCCGATATTCTCTTAACCCGTAAATGGAATAGAGGGTGTGTGTTTATTAAGTCTGGTAGCAACCAATGTTCTTCTATAAATATAATATATTGTAGTCGTTTCGTTATTTCTATAGCCTGATTTAGATTTTGGTACTTTTCCGACAATTTAACCTACTTCCAAGAAAATTAATTATTGTTTAAAGTATGATAAGATTACGTAATTCTACCTTACATAATTCTTACCTTCAGAATCCAGGCTACGCTGGTCGTAAGGAGCTACCGGAAAATTTAAAAATTCAGTTTCGAACTGTAGCGATGATGGTGCCTGACAGACAGATCATCATTAGAGTAAAGTTGGCTTCCTGTGGTTTTCTTGAGAATATCACTCTTGCCAGAAAATTTTACACTCTCTACAAGCTATGTGAAGAACAGTTGACTAAACAGGTACGTTTTGGATATAACACATTTCGTAAAAGTTGTGTATAAAGAAATTATTAACAAATAGGGGATTAAAAAATCGTAATAGTCGTAAATACTGCCGCTGTATGGTCTGGTACTCTATCTAATATTTGTTCTAAAATAAAAAAATCGCTCCTCTTGTCAAATAAATAGAAAATTCCAATCTCACACACACACACACACACACACACACACACACACACAAAACACAAAACAGCCAAAAAAAAAAACACACAACCACACCACGAGAGAGGGAACGCACGCACGCACGCACACACACACACACACACACACACACACACACACACACACACACACACACACACACACACACACACACAGCCCACACACACACACACACACACACAGAAACAGACACACACACACAGACACACACACAAACACACTCACACACACACAGACACACACAGACACAGAGGTCTGATCTGACTCAAATGCTCGTACCATCTGTATGCTGATAATTTAAAGTTGTAATACAGTTGTTGTAAGTTGTAGCTCGAATTGATCCAGCAGAGGTTCACTCTACGATAAACGTTTTAAATCTAGATCTTTAGCACATGAGTAAATAAACCGCTTCAGTGCATCTATGACTGGTGCAAAAGTCATGGTTAGTCAAGTTATAATTTTCGATAGCTCTTGTCATCTGGCTAAACTAGATTTTAATTCACTGGAGCCTACATATATGTCTACAACAGTACAATTATTAACTTAGTCATATAGTTAAAGATGTTTAGGCTAATGATCGAGGCTAATTTATGTTGGCAATGTCAGGCTTTTATTGTAGCTATGTTGGTGCGAACACTTATTTTACTAGTCACGCTGATAATGTTGATGTGTATTACCCTGATGTCATTCAAGTACTTCTGAACTCCGTTTTATTTTCGTTCTTCGTAAATATGAAAAAGTATCCTTCATTTATTCCAGTGGATAACTTTCTTAAATATATCTGTTTATATATGCGTTGATATTACCAATTATGTATGTATATGTTCGTAAAAACTACGTACGTGTATGTTATTAGGTGTAGAGTATGTTATTAGGTTATTTGTAGTAATATATATTTAAAAATATATTTATACGTATGTTATATATGTTCTTCTATTCATATTCACGTAAACATATTTTTATGGCTAACTTAAGCTTCTCCGCTTAACTCGTAGTTGACTAGTAGAGAATGATTACAACCAGATTTTATATTTTGCCTTTATGATTGGGATTATTAATGATGGTTATACCAGACATCTCTCACCTTTGATGCTGCTGCCCGTCACCTGACAGGGTTTTTACGTTGGCGTAAACGAGATGTTCTATTATCTATTGGAAGCCATAATATTTTCCTGGCACTTTCCATAGTTGCCCCTTACGACATCAAAGGAAAGAAATGAGTTGATATGCACGTACACAATGCAACGAATTTAGCTTTCCTATACTTGTGACTGAAGATGAAGATATTGGAGCTGGAAGAAGAGGTAGACAAGTTGCACCGGCATATTATTGGATTATCCGAGGTCCGAAGAAAGGAGGAGGACACGGCAATCCTCGAGTCCGGCAACTTGTTCTACCACCGGGAAGGCGACCATCTGTCCCAAGGAGGTGTTGGATTTATCGTCCACAAGTCTATCGTCAACAACGTTGTAAAGATTGGGAGTGTGTCGACGAGGGTCGCGTACCCGATACTCAGAATCACCAAACGGTATTCGCTGAAGGTCATACAGGTTTACGCACCAACCTCGGCACATCCCGATGAGGAGGTGGAGGAAATGTATGAGGATATTTCCAGAGCCATCCATTCCTCCAAAACCCACTACACGGTGTTGATGGGAGACTTCAACGCAAAACTAGGCACAAGAGAAAGCGGTGAGCTGAAGGTAGGGAAATTTGGAGTAGGGCAACGGAACCGAAGGGGCCAGCAGCTGGCCGACTTTATGGAGAAAGGGGGACTCTTTATGATGAACTCTTTCTTCCAGAAGCGGCCCCACAGGAAGTGAGCCTGGTCGAGCCCCGACGGTTCGACAAAAAATGAGATTGACTTCATTATGACGACCAGACGCCAACTGTTCAGTGATGTCTCAGTGATCGCAAGGGTGAAAACTGGCAGCGATCACCGAATGGTTAGAGGAACACTGAACTTAAACGTTAAGTTGGAGAGGTCTCGTCTGATGAAGTCAACGCTCCGTCCCCCTCGTGCTCTAATCAAGAATCCCGAAACCTTTCAGCTCGATTTACAAAACCGCTTTCAGTGCCTAGAGGATTGCAATGCAGTGGACGATATGAATGACAAGCTCGTGGAAACTGTCCATGCGGTCGGAGCTAAGTTCTGCAAGACCCGCCGCAGAAGAACACAAAAACTCTCCAACCACACTCTTAATCTCATGGCTGTTAGACGGGAGATGAGGCTGCAATCGTCAACAGATTTGACAGCATACAGGCAACTGAACAGACAGATCTCCAAATGCATGCGGTGAGACTTACGCAACTTTAATACTGCTCGTATTAAAGAAGCGATTGAGCGGAACCAGGGCTCCAAAGTCTTTGCCAGAGATCTGTCTGCCAGAAAGAGCCAACTGTCAAAGCTGAAGACTGAGTGTGGCAGAATCGTTTCCGGGACACCTGAGATTTTGAGTGAGATTGAGGGGTTCTATGGGTAGCTGTACACATCATCGTTGGAGCCACACGCAAGTGTGAGTAACGATCCAAGAGCAAGTCTTACCCGACACTATTCCGATGATATCCCGGACGTCAGTCTGAGCGAGATTAGAATGGCTCTCCAGCACCTTAAAAACGGCAGGGCCCCAGGCGAGGATGGAACTACAGCGGAGTTTCTGAAAGCGGGTGGAACACCGGTACTTGAAGTCCTTCAGAAGCTCTTCAATTCTGTCCTCCATGGTGGCACTACTCCGGAAGCGTGGAGCAGAAGTGCGGTGGTCTTGTTCTTTAAGAAAGGCGACAACGCTCTCTTGAAGAACTACAGACCGATTTCCCTTCTGAGCCGCGTCTACGTGCTGTTTTCGAGTCATTACGAATCGTCTCGCACGCAGACTCGACGACTTCCAGCCTCCCGAACAAGCCGATTTCCGAAAAGGCTTCGGTACCATAAACCACATACATACCCTGCGGCAGATTGTACAGAAGACCGAAGAGTACAATCTGCCACTTTGCCTGGCATATATGGACTATGAGAAAGCCTTTGATTCCGTCGAAATTTGGGCGGTGCTACAGTCCCTTCAGCGGTGCCAAGTTGACTGTCGGTATATCGAAGTGCTGAAGTGTTTGTACAGTAGGGCTACGATGGCTATCCGAGTACAGAACCAGGGTTCGAAACCTATCCAACTGCAGAGAGGTGTAAGACAGGGTGATGTTATATACACGAAATTCTTTACCGCTGCGTTGGAAGACGTTTTCAAGCTACTGGACTGGAAAGGATACGGTATTAACATCAATGGCGAGTACATCACTCACCTTCGATTTGCCGACGATATAGTCCTTATGGCAGAATCGCTGGAGGACCTTAGCACTATGCTCAATGACCTCAATGGTATCTCCCAATGGATAGGTCTTAAGATGAACATGGACAAAACAAAGATCATGTTTAATGTCCATGTCACACCTATGCCGGTAGTTGTTGGGAGCACTATGCTCAAAGTTGTTGACGAGTATGTTTACCTGGGACAAATAGTCCGACTAGGCAAGTCCAAATTCGACCGAGAGGTCAATCGACGGATTCAACTCGGCTGGGCAGCGTTCGGGAAATTACGACACATCTTCTCGTCAGGTATACCTCAATCTCTGAAAACTAAAGTGTATAACCAGTGCGTGTTGCCAGTGATGACTTATGGATCTGAGACGTGGTTCTTCACTGCTGGCCGTATGAGGACGCACAAGGTCGCTCAGCGAGCTATGGAGAGGGCTATGCTCGGAGTTTCACTGCGTGATAGACTTAGAAATGAGGATATCCGCAGTAAAACCAGAGTGACCGACATAGCCCAACGGATTAGTAAGCTGAAGTGGCAATGGGCCGGCCATATAGCTCGAAGAACCGATAACCGATGGGAAAGAAAGGTTCTCGAGTGGCAGCATCGTACCGGTAGGCGTAGTGTAGGGCGACCCCCCACTAGATGGAGTGACGACCTGGTAAGACATGCAGGAAGTCGATGGATGCAGGTGGCTCAGGACCGTGCTTTGTGGCATTACTTGGGGGAGACCTATGTTCAGCAGTGGACTTGTGAAGGGCTGTAATGATGATGATGATGATACTTGTGACGTCACAGTAGGTAGAAAAATATGGCACGCTTGGTTTTCATCACCCGTTCGTGCTTTGAGGATGCTCTTGGTCTGGGTACTATCCATCTGATATTTAAAAGATGGTTCTTTTTTATAGAAGAGGGGGCAAACGAGCATACGGTTCACCTGATGTTAAGCGACTACCGCCGCCCATGAATGACCATGATCTTTTCTCAAAGGCTTCTTACGAGACCCGCGGGATGTTATTGAGGTGAATAGTTTTCTTACGCCACCACCATACTGACGCGTATTATATGATAATTTTTTTTTGTTTAGGTACATTATGACTTCGGGCTTCGGAATATCCTGTCTGTATTAAGAACTCTAGGTGCAGTCAAGCGAGTCAATGCTAAAGACAACGAAAGCACAATCGTGATGCGCGTTCTGCGCGACATGAATTTATCGAAGCTGATCGACGAGGATGAGCCTCTGTTTATTTCTTTGGTAGCTGATCTATTTCCTAACCAAGTGTTGGAAAAAACTACATATCCCGAGCTCGAAGACGCTATTCGAAAGCAAGTTGACCAAGCAGGATTGATCTATCATCCGCCATGGGTGTTGAAAATTATTCAGGTAAAGACACTCGTGTCAACTGCAATTCTTTTGCCATAAACCAAACTTTTTTCTAAATACTGTATAGGAATACACACATTAAATAACGTTATATTCTTGTCTATTCGAATAAATCATTAATTTGTATATCTCAAAACAATAAAATTTAATGTGACTTAAAACAATACACCTACCAAGTTTTATGACGCTACTTATAATAGAAAATTCAAATTATGCGACGTATATTATAAATATTAAATTACTATTATTGATACATTCATCAACAACACTTGATGTTATATATATATACTGTAATCTAATACTAATAATCTGTTAGCTTTACGAGACACAAAGAGTACGGCACGGTATAATGATACTGGGCCCACCAGGCGCTGGCAAAACTACATGCATTCATACCTTGATGACAGCTTTATCCGATATAGAAAATCCTCACAGGTAATAAGGGTTTCAAAACATAATAAAATACGTACCTGATTTTATATGCGAAATCAATAAAAACATATTATATTTACTTTTAATTAAGATAACTTACGTTATTAATGCAAAATATTATATTTATTTAAGAGAAATGCGAATGAATCCAAAAGCAATAACAGCGGCACAAATGTTTGGACGCCTAGATGTTGCTACTAATGACTGGACAGATGGAATATTTTCAGCCTTGTGGAGGAAAACTCTTAAAATAAAGACAGGCGAACATATTTGGTTAGTCCTAGACGGACCTGTTGATAGCATATGGATTGAAAATTTGAATTCGGTACTTGATGACAATAAAACACTAACTTTAGCCAATGGTGACCGTTTGACAATGTCTCCAACCTCTAAAATTATATTTGAACCAGAGAATATAGACAACGCGTCACCAGCGACAGTATCTCGTAATGGAATGGTATATATGAGTTCTTCAGGATTAGATTGGCAGCCAGGTAAAAAAGTAATATAGGAATATATAACTTCGACATTATTTACTTGTATAGAGTTTAAACTGTAGACATAAGCTTTTCCCAAATTGTCGTAAATTAGTAATAATTTCCTCTGCTATTGGCATAAAGTTTGTGTTCGAGCAATAAAAGAATAGCGAATATGACTAGGCTGATAATCAATGGCCGTAAACGCAAATATAACACTATAAAAATGAATGAAATCATCGATAATAATTCGTGACGTGTATGTTGATTTCAATTATTTTATATCATTTTCAATCATTTTTTATAGTTTTCTATTAGCGTTAACAAACATAACTGCTGTAAACAATTTAAAGTATGTTCGTCGCGCATATTGACGCCGCTAAAAGCACCCACGACAGAAATTTAAAGTATGGGTTCTCTTTTCTCGCCATCACGTTAAAGATGTAGTGTGTACATTAATCTGATTGTTTCTTTTGTTCGTGCTTGAAAATCTTTACACACATTAACAATGTTTTAAGTGATGTCTAACTAAGTAAATTTAGCGGTTATTTCATTATAAAAACCTACTAATATATAAAATAATTATATTTTTTAATAGTTAATTATATTTTGTAATTAAGTTATTTAGCTCGCCACTGCATGGCTAATCCAGCTATATACTGGCTGATTTTTTTTACCATCTGGAAAAAAATATTATAACACGATTTGTCCAACCGTTCAAAATACGCTTCAGTTTCGGCGATCAATTCTTCATTTGAGGCAAATTTCTTTCCGGATACCATTTTTTAGGTTAGCGAACAAATAATAATCGCTGGGAACTAAATATGACGAATACGGTGGGTGAGGAAGCAACTTAAACTTTAACTCTTTAAGTTTCGCCATGTTGACAACAGACTTGTGACATGGTGAATTATCCTGATGAAAAAGAACTTTTTTCTTTTGCATTTGAGGCCGTTTTTTCGCTATTTCCTCCTTCTAACGCACCAATAGCGACATATAATATTCGCTATTAATCATTTCGTCTTTCTGCAGGTATTTTATAAATATTGTAGCATGCACATCCAAAAACACGGATTCCATAATCTTTCTAGCTGAAATTTGAGTTTTTGGTCGCTTTGAGCGGCTTTCATTGGTTTCTATCCATTTACTTGACTGCCGTTTTGATTCTAGAGTGTACCACTACATCCAAGGATCCAAGTTTCATCCATTGTGACATACTGCATAAAAAATCCTTTTTGTTCCGCCTAAATAACTCAAAACGGCGCTCTGAGGCTTCACTACGTTCATGCTTTTGGTCAACGGTAAGCGAACGCGGTACCCACTTGGAACAAATCTTTCTCATAGACAAATGCTCATGCAAAATGGTGAAAGCACTATCTTTCAATATCTTTAGGTCGTCGGCTATCTCTTGCAATTATATTTTACAGTCTTCCAAAACTATTTTGTGAGCTTTTTTAAGTTTTCTGAAATAACAGCCTCATTTGGGCATCCAGAGCATTCAGCATCATTTGTGTCTGTTCGTCCGCGCTTAAATTCAGCAAATCAACGTTTAACTGTTACTTTTGATGGAGCAGAGTCCTCATAACATTTGTCAAGCCAACTTTTTGCTTCAACGGTATTTTTCTTCATTAAAATGAAAATGTAATATTAACACCCGAAATTATTTTTCGTCCAATGTTTTAAAAAAGTTTAAACTGACACCAAAAACCTCACCGTAGTTACAAAACTAATAATTTAGGGGTTATGAACATTTTGCATCATACTGTTAATTACAAGTCTGTTCTTTTTAAAAATAAAAATAAATGTTCTCTAACAACGCCATCTATACGTCAGGCTCGGGACTTATAGACCGACGTCATATTTATGATAATTATTTAAATATATTTTATGCCATCAATTGCTAAACCAGTGTAAAATGTGTGTCGGTATGTACAAAATTGTATTTTAATTTTTTTCAGTCCTCAACGCATGGTTAAAATCTCGGTCACAAAGAGAAATAGAAGTTTTTAGTGCTCTATTTGAACAAACATTTTTGAATACATATACATGGTGTACACAGAATCTCACATTCAGTATGCGTGTACTACAGAGCAATATTATATTGCAAATGCTTAATCTCCTAGAAGGATTAGTGCCACCTCAGATTGTGGAAGTCGAAGATGCATCAGCTAGTAAATCAGTTAATGGTGACATAGACGACGAAGAAGAAAAAGAAAATGGTGAAGAAATCGTTCTCTTTACTCATGAACATTTACATAAAATTTATATTTTTGCATTAGTATGGGGTTTTGGTTCACTTCTTGAAACTGAGGATCGAATTCGTTTTGACAAATATATAAAAACAACATTCCCAGAGATGTTAGAAATACCTAAGCACCCAAATAATAAACCTAGTATTTTATTTGATTTTTATGTCAAACATCCCGGTAAGTGGGAATTATGGGACGATTTGATGACTAATTATCAATATCCCGATACAGCATCACCTGATTATTCTAGTATTTTAGTACCTATAGTCGATAATGTACGAATTAATTATCTGATTCATTGCATTGCTAAACAAGGAAAAGCAGTACTCCTCTTAGGAGAGCAAGGCTCAGCTAAAACCGTCATGATGAAAGCTTATATGAAAAATGCTAATGCGGAACAATACATGGGTCGATCATTTAATTTTTCCTCTGCTACGAGTCCATACCAGTTTCAGAAAACAATAGAAAGTTATGTTGAAAAACGTAGTGGAATGACATTTGGGCCTCCTGGTGGTAAGAAAATGTTAGTATTCATAGATGACATCAACTTACCACAAATAAACGAATGGGGCGATCAAATAACAAATGAAATTGTTCGGCAAACTATGAGTATGGGCGGATTTTACAGTTTAGAAAAGCCAGGAGATTTTACTACAATCATTGATATACAATTTCTAGGCGCTATGGGCCAGCCAGGTATAATCCATCTAATCCTTGTTTGTCTCGAGTAAGAGTATTCTATTCTTGACTATTCATTAAATGTTAAAATTATTGATTACAGGTGGAGGTCGAAACGATATACCATCTCGTTTAAAACGACAATTTTCAATATTTAACTGCCCTTTGCCCAACAATGAATCAATAGACAAAATTTTTAAGGTTATTGGTGAAGGCCACTATAATGCAAAACGAGGATTTACTACTGAAGTCAGGTCGCTTATAAAACGCGTTATACCCTTGACACGAGAGCTATGGACACAAACGCGTCTAAAGCTATTACCAACACCAGCAAAGTTTCATTACGTATTTTCTTTAAGAGATTTGTCTAGAGTTTGGCAAGGTATGGTTGGAACACTGCCAACTGTAATAGAATCAGAAAAATGTCTTATGCTTTTATGGAAACACGAGTGTTCCCGTGTATTTTCTGATAGATTTACGCATCAATCTGACAAAGATTGGTTTAACAAAGCTTTATACGACATTTCTGAGGAAGTTTTAGGCGTAGAGTATAAAAAAATGATGGAAAAAGATCCTGTGTTTGTGGATTTTATGAGGTAAATAAAGATACGTTGACAAAAATGTTTATTTGATGTACAGATGTCTAAATATTTTATACGTTTTTGTAACTAGGGATGCACCTGAACCGACAGGTGAAGAAGGTGAAGATGCAGATATGGAACTACCAAAAGTATATGAGCCGGTGTTCGATTTTAATGAATTACGCGATCGCCTTGATATGTTTCTCTCTCAATTCAATGAAATGGTCAGGGGATCTGGAATGGATTTAGTATTTTTCCCCGATGCTATGCTTCACTTAGTAAAAATATCCCGTGTTATACGACATCCTAGAGGAAACGTTATGCTTGTAGGTGTAGGAGGCTCGGGAAAGCAATCACTTACAAAACTGTCAACATTTATTGCTGGATATCGTTCTTTCCAAATAGCTTTAACAAGATCATATAATGTTGGAAACTTTTTGGAAGATCTTAAATTACTCTACCGGTCATGTGGCGTACAAGGAAAGGGAACAACATTTATTTTTACCGATTTAGATATAAAGGAAGAAGGATTTTTAGAATACTTAAATAATATATTGTCATCCGGTGTTATATCTAACTTATTTACTAAAGACGAGCAGCAAGAAATCATTTCAGAATTAACACCAATAATGAAGCGTGAAAATCAAAAAAGAACATTAACAAATGAACTAGTTATGGAATATTTTCTGAATAGGACTTGTCAAAATCTTCATGTTGTTTTATGTTTTTCGCCAGTGAGTAAAAGTTACAGAAAAATAAATATTTATAGTAGTTTAGAATAATGAAAAATCTAATACATATGTTTATTATGTGTGTCATTATCTTCTCGTCAGGTATAGCTCATAACGTGAATATTAGATTGTACAACCAGTGCGTATTGCTAGTGATGACTTACGGATCTGAGACGTGGTCCTTCACTGCTGGCCGTATGAGGACGATCAACGTCGCTCAGCGAGCTATGGAGAGAGCTAAGCTCGGGGTTTCTCTACGTGATAAACTTAGAAATGAGGATATCCGCAGTAGAACCAGAGTGATCGAAAGCTCAATGGATTAGTAAGCTGAAGTGGCAATGGGCCGGCCTATAGCTCGAAGAACCGTTGGGGATAAAAGGTTCTCGAGTGGCAGCCTCGTACCGGTAGATATAGTGTAGGGCGAACCCCCACTAGATGGATTAACTACCTGGTAAGTCATATAGGAAGTTGGTGGATGCATGTGGCTCAGAACCGTGCTTTGTGGCGTTCCTTGGGGGAGGCCTATGTTCAGCAGTGGACTTGTGATCGATAATGATGAATATTATTTCTTATGTATGTTATACATTTTTATAAAAGTAAACCTTTTTATTGTAAATTTAGTCTATTTCAATTCAAATTCATTAATTTATAAAATTAAAAAACATAAATTATTGAGAATATTTTAAAAATTTACATTTTTCAAATTTTAGGTCAGTGAGGCATTTAGATATCGGGCACTAAGATTTCCAGCTCTTATATCAGGTTGCACTATCGACTGGTTCCAACCCTGGCCAAAAGATGCACTTGTATCTGTTGCTGATCATTTTCTAGCCGAATTTGAAATAGAATGCACAAAAGAAGTTAAAAAAGAGCTTGTAACGGTTTTGGGGACAATTCAGGATGTAGTCTCAAAAGTATCTGCAGAATACTTTCAAAGATTTAGAAGGTCTTCTCATGTTACACCGAAATCATATCTAAATTTTATAGGAGGTTATAAAACAATTTATCAGATGAAACAAAAAGAGCTGGGAGATGGTGCTTTAAGAATGGATACTGGATTGGAAAAGCTTCGCGAAGCGTCAATATCCGTTGAAGTTTTAAAGAAAGACTTAGCTGTAATGGAACAAGATTTAGCTTTAGCATCTGAAAAGGCAGATCGAGTATTAACTGAAGTCACAGAAAGAGCTATGCAGGCGGAAATTGTCAAAAATCAAGTGCAAATAGTTAAAGAAAAGGCGGAAGTATTAGTAGCTTATATTGCTGAAGAGAAAGAGAAAGCTGAAAGGAAGCTGGAAGCTGCCAAACCAGCGCTTGAAGAAGCTGAAGCAGCACTTAATACAATAAAACCAGCTCACATAGCCACTGTCCGAAAATTAGGCAGACCTCCACATCTAATTATGAGAATCATGGACTGTGTACTTATTTTATTTCAGAGAAGATTACACCCTCTGATACCCGACACAGCTGCGCCGTGTCCAAAACCATCGTGGGCTGAATCTCTAAAGGTTAATATCAATAATTGCTTAGTGAATATTAAATGCAAATAACCTTTATAATTATTATTTACAGATGATGGCCAGTACCACATTTCTTTTGCAACTACAAAATTACCCAAAAGATATTATAAATAACGAAATGGTAGAACACTTAAATCCTTATTTTGAAATGGAAGATTACAATATGGATACAGCAAAGCGAGTTTGTGGTGACGTGGCTGGTTTGTTGTCATGGACGAAAGCAATGGCATTTTTTCATAGTGTCAATAAAGAAGTTTTACCTTTGAAGGCAAATCTTTTGTTGCAAGAAGCTCGATTGAAGGTAATTAGTAATTACGGTGCAAAATTTATTTTAAATATAAAACAAAAAAGTTAACTTGCACATAAATTTACAACCTAATACATGTCTCAATAAACTGCCAATTTTAAGGCCTCCTTTCGGTTCTGAGAGGATTAGGGAGCAATTAATATTTATTAATATTACTTCGTCACGCTGCTCCAATGCAATTGACGGACTCCATTTATCCTAGATATACTTAATTTCTTAAAGTATAGATGGTTTGGGGGTAAGTTTCACTGCATGCAGGTAACCTTTGCTTGATCCCCGTTGGCACCAATGAAATTTGTTAACTGCAATTTTAAGTGCTGATTTAGCACTTGCTCGGCAGTAAAGGAAAACGTTGTAAAGAAACTTGCATTAATGCTTAATTGCGTTGCAATGATTAATTTGGATACAACTTTGCGTTAATAAACTTTTATAACTGTAGGTTGCAATGGAAGATCTGGCATCAGCAGAAAGACAATTAGAAGAGAGAGAAATGTCTCTACGTAAAGTTAAAGAGCAGTACGAATCAGCAGTGTCTGAGAAACAACAACTTACAGATGCAGCAAATGTATGTTTGAGAAAAATGACAGCAGCTACAGCTTTAATTAATGGACTAGGAGGTGAAAAAATTAGGTGGACTCAACAAAGCAAAGATTTTAAACAACAACTTGGTAGATTAGTTGGTGACGTCGTTTTAGCGACAGGATTTTTATCATACTGTGGTCCTTATAATCAGGAATTTAGAAATAATCTCTTTAATACTTGGATGGGAATACTCAAAAGCAAACATATACCCGTTACAGATAATTTAAATATTACCAATATGTTAGTTGAAAGTGCAACCATATCTGAATGGACACTTCAAGGTCTTCCTAATGATGAGCTTTCTGTACAAAATGCTTTAATTGTTACAAAATCTAGTTCTTATCCACTTCTGGTTGATCCACAAAGTCAGGGCAAAAATTGGATCAAGAATAAAGAAAGCACTAATGAGCTTCAAATTACTTCACTCAATCATAAATATTTTAGGACTCACCTTGAAGACAGCTTATCCCTTGGTAGGCCACTTCTAATCGAGGACGTTGGTGTGGAACTAGATCCAGTCATAGACAATGTTCTAGAAAAAAATTTCATTAAATCGGGTTCCATCGAAAAGGTTATAGTAGGTGACAAGGAATGTGATGTAATGCCTGGATTTATGCTTTACATTACAACTAAATTACCAAACCCTGCATATTCACCGGAAATAAGCGCCAAAACCTCCATTATTGATTTCACTGTCACTATGCAAGGCCTTGAAGATCAGCTACTTGGTCGAGTAATTTTGATGGAAAAATCAGATTTAGAAGAAGAGCGAGTTGCTTTGTTTGAGTCAGTTATGAAAAATCAGAGAAGCATGAAAGAATTAGAAAGTAACCTTCTCTGTCGCTTAACATCCTCGAAAGGATCGTTAGTTGATGACGAAGCTCTTATTGAAGTATTACAGATTACAAAAACAACGGCAGAGGAAGTAAATGAAAAGCTCAAGGTGGCTGAAGTAACTGAGAAAAAAATCATCAAAGCCAGAGAAGAATTTAGAGCAGTAGCGGCAAGGGGTTCCATTTTATACTTTTTGATTGTTGAAATGAGTAACGTTAATATTATGTATCAAAACTCACTCAAGCAGTTTCTTAATATTTTTGACAACTCCATTACGAAATCTACTAAAAGCAGTATAACAGAAGAAAGAATAAATCTGATTTTGAAATACTTAACACATGAAGTGTGGGCCTTTACATTGCGCAGTTTATACGAAAGACATAAAGCATTATTCACATTGATGTTAGCCATGAAAATAGATTGTCATCGAGAATTGATATCACACGACGAATTTATGGCTTTCGTAAAAGGCGGGGCATCTCTTGATTTAAATGCAGTCACTCCAAAACCTTTTAAGTGGATCTTGGACATAACATGGCTGAATTTAGTGGAGATTAGTAAACTAAAAATTTTCTCTGACGTTCTTATCAAAGTAAGCACAAATAAATATATCAAATTTTAACGTTGTATTAAATAATAAAATCATATAAGCCTCTTACATCCACAGATATCTTCCAATGAGAAAGAGTGGCGCGTTTGGTATGAAAAAGCCAAACCTGAAGAAGAAATGATTCCTAGTAACTACAATGAAAATCTCGATGTTTTTCGCAAACTTTTACTTATAAGGTCATGGAGTCCTGACCGAACTCTTTCACAAGCCAGGAAATATATTGTTGGTAAGAGAACTTAAACTAACATTAACATTCAATAAAGTGATTGTTTCTCACACTTCTTACACGTTAAACCGTGCGTATGATGTACGTAAATAAGTATGTAATATAAAATAAAAAGATGTGAATTACACAACATATTATTTAAAAGGAAATCTGGACTACTGGAGGTTTTCGATGTTCTGTAGATACGACCTCAGTAACCATACTACTGGTTGCCTGGTTAGCTGTTTGTATGGTTTTTATATCTGCCGCAAAGGAGTATTACGTCCACTGATGTATATTGATTACGAAGGTAATCGCAGCCGTAACCGGACCACGACATACGCAAACTATAAGAATTTTAGGTATTTTCTATTGTAAATTTCACGTCGCGATTTTATAGCCGCGATGCGTGCTGTTCTTTGCGTTGGTCTTAGTAAAACCACACAAACAGCTTCACCTGCATAGCGCCGTGGCCTTTACTGGTAATCGTTGCCTTACACCCGCCCGGCATGCTGTCATATCCTGCCAAATTTTCGGGACCATAAAGTATTTCATCGTGGTCTTTAGGGGTAATTTAGGGGTAATCTTTTAAGATATTTTTTATTCAAAATAAGTTGCTCATATCTATCATTTGCTGTAACTTAACATCTGGTCAATTGTTAGATTATGTAGTCTGTTCGCTAAGATAATGTCGGTACACCTGGAGGCGCACTTGTTATTTTGCTTTTATTTTATTATGTTTTATTGTGTTTGATAAATAAATGTTTTTCTAATCTAAGAATAAAATAGAATTTTATTTTATTATTATGATTATTTTAATAAAATACGAATAAAAATAATAAACACGAAATAGGTAGCAAAGAACCTCTCACTACGGCGGCGCATCGTTTCAAAATGCCAAATTTTGTGTGTATGCGCTTTTATAGGTGTACGTAGGGTCGTTGTGCTGGTTTTCGGCCTTTTAGCGGAGTTGTCAACTTTAAAGTACAATAAAAAATAATTGCCATTATCTTCGATCAACAATACCAACTAGATAACGGGTCACGTACAAAATCATAGCTAAATACTGTCCGCGTGAATATAAACTTAAATAGCTACATTTGTTTACTAAAGAAATGAGACAAAAAATTAAAATAGTTTTAAGCTCAACCTAATTACAACCATCGCATCTAGTAATAAAGTCACAAATCTTACGATCATTAGTCACAAAAAAAGAACAAAGCTATACAATTCTCCTATCACTTGGACATAAATTAAATAAACTTTGATATGAAATTAACCTTAACGTGTAACAAATAAAGTTCTTTTTCCCGTTATTGCCTTGCGAGTTACGTCATTTTGTTATGTTTCTGTTTTCTTCTTCGAATTTGGTCCAGGAAGTATTGTGTCGCGTTGAACACTATAATAATTTATAATATGGTCATAAGTTTAATTAAAATTATATTTATGTTTTGGGCATTTATGATTGTTGGTATACAAACTTTCCACACTAGCCATTAAATATAATATAGTATGTAGTATATTGATTGCATTTAATTATCTAATTCAATATATATCTATTTTAGTGTTTGTATGTATATATGTTCGTAATGTATGTATCTATGTGTAGTATATATATAAATATGTGTATTCTTTTTTATCACACCAATTTGCCCTACTCCTATCATTTTTATTGGTTGTCTGGAAGAAATTGCTGTCAGCAATAAGATCGCCCATTGCATACTTTTAAAACGTGGTAGAGCCATACTGCAATTATATTAGCAGTATAGTTGTAGCACTAATGGGTCGGCTCGACCGGGGAAGAAAGCTAGGAAAGCTAAAAAAAATCTAAATATCTATTGGAATTACACAAACAAAGACAAAAGTAGCAACTTTAAGGTTTAACTATATGTAATCAAGTGGGAGATTGTCCCAGGGCGACTGTGCGGGCACTGGACGTGTCCCTGCCGTCCGAAACAGTATAGTACATCTCAAATCCATTTAGTATAAAAATCACATCCAATATTTTTTCCAGATCTTCTTCTGTATCGTTCATTAAACTATTATAACACAAGGCGCAAGAAGCAATTGCTGTAGAAGAAGGTGCACGTGTATTGTTAACAGTTTTTTTTACGGGTTACGGTTTAATTAAATGTTTTTTCTATTGCATCTCTGTATTCTTTATTTAATAGTACTGAAACCAATGTTTCATTAGTTTGTAGAGGTGTACTAGTTTGTTTTGTTAGAATATCAACCCACACATTTTCTAAAGTTTCAGAGATCTCTTTTGTTATTATCGTTGTTTGTAGTGGTATCATCGTGGTTTGAGTCATTATTGTTTCATTACTGAAATATATTATCATTTCAGGAATTATCAGTACTGTTATCGTTGGTAGGCTTATTTGAGTTTGAATTACAAGAAGTCATATAACAATACTAAGGAACCAATATCCAAATAACTTCCTGACAAATGCAATGTCGAAATTTTGGTATCGATTAACGATTATGATGCATCGGTATATGAATAAATAGTTACCAGAACATCGTGAGTTAAAATACCTTTATCTTGGTCTGTGTTGCACAGACTTTCTGGAGACTTAAATGGACTTAGCGGTCTTATATTGCTTAATTGGAGAATTAAGTCTTCGTTGGCCTGTCTGTGTGGGACAATATTGATCTGAGAACACTTCAATTTCCTTATTTCATTGACTACAATAGCAACTTTTATGATTTTTTTCTGCCATACTTGATTTAAAATGATTCAAAACTTTTCTTGTGGAAACTGGATCTGCGTTATTTATTTCTTTAGAAATATTTATTCTTTCTTTCAATTATCACCGATTAGTCTTTCCAGCGTTTTTTGGACTCATTTTAAGTAATCCACTCCATTGATATCTATTTAATAAAGTCCTCATTTTTTGAAGCCATTTATTTATTATATTTCTTTGTATGAGCCATCTGAAGAAAAAAATGTTTTATTGATTCTTCTTCCTAAAATGCAACGTGAATGAAATATTTCATGAAATAGCCGTAAATTTAAACTAAATCAGCATTATATTTACAGTCGCCTTATTATTTCATACAATTTTAAGTTGGCCGAAAACTAAATAGTTATTTTAGAGGCAATCCAGTTTTCGGCCACGGCCGAAATGGGTATTTCTGTTTCATCACTAACTGTTCAAATTGCAGTACTTGGTGGCCGAAAACTAAAAGGTAGTGTCTACGCACGCTACGATTCAATATAAGTAAGAAAGATGAATTATAGTACGGAACCAATTAAATGAAAGAAACAAAGTATTTAAGCTAAACTCTAATCGGACTGTTTCATGTGTCACTTTTCGGCCACTAAATTTATTAACTTTATCCATAAAGTATTATAATAATCAATTTCAAATAACTGTATTAGGTTATTTATACAGTGAAATATAAGCACAATATTAAATAATCGTAATAATCGGTAGAAAATGCTTCCAACCATTTATTAATTTTTTTTGCCTCAACGAATTTCCTCGTTAAACATTTGCTTGTCAATCGTTATATAAATAAATTTTATATGGAGACGTGACCAAACTATCTTATAAAATAAATACGATCGCTGATACCGGCACTAAAGAAGTTTTGATTACAGAAATTGAATACCATAAATCTGATAATTAAATATGAATATGTTTACAAACATTTAAATATGATTTTCTTCAACTTTAGATTCCCTTGGTGCGGAATATGGAGAAGGTCGCATTCTTAATCTTGAGACTACTTGGGAAGAATCAGAACCACGTACTCCGCTTATTTGTATTTTGTCCATTGGATCGGATCCATCTGCACAAATTGCTGCCTTAGCTAAGGCTAAAGATATTGGTAAGCTAAGTTTTAGATTTTTGACAACATTTACCTTTAACATCCAAGGTTGAGTGACAGAGAATGCCACATGACATTAAAACTAACTATTAATACAAAGCGTGGTTTTAAAGACGTTATATATATATATATATATATATATATATATTTTTTTTAAATTTAAACCTTTGAGTATCTTAATACTCAAAGGTTTAAACAAACAAAATGAAAATAAGATAATATAAAATAAATGCATCGTAATATAAAATTTTATGTAATCGTGCTTTATTTTCTTTTAACAGTTTTAAAGGCAGTTTCAATGGGGCAAGGGCAAGAAATTGTCGCCCGCAAAATGATATCTGATGCGATGAATGAAGGAGGTTGGGTTTTGCTGCAAAATATTCATCTTTCGCTGCCATTTTGTGTGGAGGCCATGGATGCTCTTATAGAAACGGAGCATATACAAGACAGTTTCCGTCTTTGGCTTACCACTGAGGTTCACACGGATTTCCCTATAGGTTTGTTACAAATGGCGATTAAGTTCACAAACGAACCACCACAAGGTATCAGAGCAAGTATGAAAAGAACTTACCAGAACATTACTCAAGACACTTTAGATTATTCATCGTTACCACAATGGCCACCTCTACTATACGCTGTGGCATTTTTACATACAATTGTTCAAGAAAGAAGAAAATTCGGACCTTTAGGTTGGAATATTCCTTACGAATTCAATCAAGCTGATTATGCAGCAAGTGTACAGTTTATTCAAAACCACCTCGACGAAATAGACCCAAAGAAAGGAATTTCATGGCCAACCATCTGTTATATGCTCGGAGAGGTACAATACGGTGGGCGTGTAACAGATGATTTTGATAAACGCCTGCTAACAACATTCACTAATGTCTGGTTCTGCGACGTACTTTTAAGACCTGGTTTTGAATTTTACAAAGGCTACAAGGTGCCCCAGACAAGAAATCTTCAAGGTTATGTAGATTATATCAATCAACTGCCCTTAACGGATACTCCCGAAGTGTTTGGCTTACATAGCAACGCAGACATTACGTATCAGATTAATAGCGCTAAAGACATCTTAGACACCATACTTAGTGTTCAGCCTAAAGAAGGAGGGAGCCAGGGAGGAGAAACTAGAGAAAGCATTGTTTATCGTTTAGCTGAAGATATGTTGGAAAAGCTACCAAAACAATATGTTAGTTTTGAAGTTAGGGAAGCTCTACAGAAGATGGGTGCTTTTTTGCCAATGAACATCTTTTTAAGGTATGCTTAATATGTGTTATGATTTATAATATTTATTATATATACCTAATATTGTATTAATCGTTTACATTCAGTTTACATTGCCATTTGTATTATCTTTAAACATAAAATTTTTTAAGTGATTTTGAAGTGTTAGTCTCTATTATTGAAATAACTGTCTATTTTGAACTAAATATGTTATTTGCATGGCATAAAAATATGAATAACCATTTTTCAAATGTTTCTCTGTCTGTCTGTTTATCCGGGCTTATCTTAAGAAATGGCTGATAGATAGATCTACGACACAGAGCAATTTCAGCAATGATCTAGTCTAGTTTTATCCGAAAAACTTGGAGCTTATTTTTGAGAAATCGAAAAATTCATAGAATAAATGGTCTTTGATGATTATTTTAAATATAAATAACGCTACATCAATAGTGCCCACTCAGGCGAAGCCGGGGCTGATCGCTAATATTTATTTTTAAAAAAAACTGGTAATGTAAATGATTAACACAATATTTAGTCTGTATTGATTTTCTATATAATTTTATACACTGTTATATTTCTTCTACAGGCAGGAAATAGACAGGATACAACGAGTCATCAAAACTGTGCAAACCACATTATGCGATTTAAAGTTAGCAATTGATGGCACCATAGTGATGAGTCAAGGGTTACGTGAATCACTAGATGCTATGTACGATGCAAGAATACCCAATCATTGGTCAAAGGTTTGATTGTATTTACAAATGTAGTAGCGAGCCGCTCCGGCATTGCCTGTGTAGCGAAAGGGAATCTATAAATATGGTGTTATTTAGTTATTTAGGCTTTCTGAAGACAGTTAAACACAATTTATTAAATTAATTTTTCGTATTTAAAAAAATCTAAAAGTTTTTCGGATAAAATATAGCCTATCTGAAAAACTATAACTATACAAGAGGATTTTCTGACTATGCCATATGAAAATTAATAAATGCTTGTTTATATCTATGATGTAATAGCATACAAATTACCCCCCGAGTTATTTCAATATTACAGACAAACACATAAAATTTATTTATAGTATACATTAGGGGAGATAGGGGAGAGATGGGCACTTTCACATACGAGTTAAAAAAGCACATTTTTAATATATCCAATATTTATTGCCAAGTTCAATTGCACCATACATTTGGCAAGATGTTTTACAAATTATAATCAGTCTCAAAGCTACAAAAGGATTTCAGAAACATGTCAATTGTGCCCAAAGCTCCCCGTGGTAGGGAGGTTCAGGCACCCCCTTTGGGAGGTTTGGGCATGATGTTTAAAACACCCACGTTACATAATATAAACCGAAAACTTGTAAAGCTATAAACCTTGATGAAGAATCCTTTAAATATTCCTGTTTTAGATATCGTAGCAAGTTTGTTCTACATCTTTGAAACTTATCATCAGTTGTTTTATGTTACCGCCTTTTGACACTTTTTCTATGGCACGTAATATTCTGTCTTTTGGAATTTCGCATCGCTTACCCTTCTTTTTATACCTGAACGAAGTCTTTCTGAAAATAAAATCATCTAAACATTTTAACTTAATTTAGGTAATGTAAAACAAAAAGATGCACTATATACATGGAGCATTGGGTTAAACCACCATCAAAATAACTGCCCATTGCTCCCTCTTCGTACTTTTTCAACTTAATTTTCTTGTGAAGTTTTATGTTTAGATGTTTTAGCGTGACTTATAGGTTAATATATACGGTAGTTAATATACAACGGAAATAAAATAAAATACTTTCCTTCACTGGTTCTTCGATTATATATGGCGAAACCACAACAAAATCATGGATTATAGAGGTAAACAAAATGTTTACTTTGATGCGCACCTAACCATAAAGAGCGTGTAATTTTGACAACTGAACGAAATGACAATTTGTCTATGGATGAACAGCCATTGAGTAAAATAAACAACCAACATAAAAATAAAATAAACTTTACAATTGAACTGGAGTTACAAGGGGGTGCCTATGTCTCCCAACTGCCCAACTCTCCCCTATCTCCCCTTATCGTAGAACTACATATTTTTGATAAAATCGCAAGTCGTCACAACCTACTACGACTTAAATGTCTTGGTCACAACTACGCAGTAGTATAATAAATCTATGGTCACAAGATAAACAAGAGAAACCGTTATTTCGACAAACCGGCCCTAAAAATAAAAAATGAGTTTTTAATCGTTTAGATTTTTACATTTTAGATCGAATATTCAACATTTATCTAAAGAGAGGTACAAGAAACCAAGATAATCTGTAGTAATAATAAAGTCGTGTCGGAAAATATAAATACAAAATATCTCATAATTAAAATGATTATTCATTGTTAAAAGACGGCCAGAATCATCTTTTTTTCAGCGTTGTGTATTGAATAAATTTATTTTTATTAAAATTATCAACCTCGATATTTCTGTCAAAATATTACCATAATTTTCTTCTACTTTCCTCCACTACTTTTATCCATTTCTCTATGTGACGTAAGCACACGCTACTTTTAACAAAAACTTCATTTTATTTATGGAGAATTGTGATTTTTGTGCTGCGATGTTTATACTACACACTGTTACTCCAAAAAAATTACAGTTATCGATTATATGGAATTATAATATATTCAGAATAGTGTTGAGATTGAGCTGAATATTTAAATCACTTGACAAAATCCATTACACATCTTAATGTAATGATTATTATTCATCACAAACTGATTTAGTTGATATGAAATAAATTTTCGTTAATCTATTTATTTTGTTTAGTAAATTATATTTATTTTAAAATCGCTTATTTTTCACTTGATGAACTATGCTTGCAACACTTGCTACTTTACGAAAATATTGAGAAAATACGAGTTTTAACGATAATATTATGTTAAAAGTATTCACACACGAAAAGCCACGTTGTCCTTTTGTAGATTTGACGATTTTGATTGTTTTTTTGCATGAAAATACACTACAATTTGGCATTTTTGTAATATAATAGAATAAGAACTTAAAAGCTGTTAGTGAATGGTCGAAGCAATTTTCTGTCTCTGTCAACCCAAAAATTGACGAGCAATACTTGTCGGTAGTTCGAGAATGCTGTCCAAGATAAGCCTATCAAATCTGCCTTCGGTCTATTGCAACGCCATCTTGATACCCTTATTGAACACCGTGAAAAATATAGAAATAGGATACACATATCGCTGAAATCAGCCACAAAGTATTTGCCACCACGGTCTCTCTCGTCTAAAGAATTTTCTACCTGTAAACAGAAAGATCTTGCTCGTGCAGAAACTTGTTTTGCCCATTATTGAATACGCAGATGTTTTTTATCCAGATTTAGACAAACATCTTCTCAACAAGCTAGAGCTTCTGATTAAAAATTGCATTAGATACGTATACTCGCTTTGAAAGTATTATCATGTTTCTCTTTATCGTAATCGCCTTAAATTGCTCACAATCAAACAGAGGTGCAATTCTGGAATTCTGCTTGATCTTTTTTCTTTATTAAGCAATGTAGCTTCTCTTTTATATACTAAGGAAAGATTTCCAAACATTGAGGGACTCTGCTCTGAGTTTAAGCTGGGCAGAACATCCACAGAAGATGAACATCACGAAGGATGCCCATCCACATCCCTTACTAAAGTTAACGTGAAGAAGGTCGAAAATGTCGTATTGGCAGATCGAAGAGTTATCATCAGGAATATAGCTGATGTCACGAGGATCTCATATGGCCGTGCTCAAAGAATCCTTGCGAACGAATTGCTTATGAAAAAGGTCTCTGCGCGTAGCGTACCGAGAGCGTTAACCGACGAACAAAAAAAAAGTGTTGTTATTTCAAGGCCAAATCTCGAAAGGTTCCAAGCAGATCATAAATTTTTATCACGTTTTGTGACAAGACCTGGATCCACCATTTTGATTTTGAAACCATACAACAATTAATGGTTTGGAAACAAGCCTCCTCACAGGGGCCGAAGAAATTCAAAGTGTCAAGGTTATGGCGTTCGTGTTTTGGGACACTGAAGGAATAATTCTCTGTTAAGAAACATTACTATTAAAAACTTTCTTAATTATTATATTCCTTTCTTTACTGTTATTTACTATTTTCATATTTATGTTAATACTACTACAAATTATTTACTCTTTTAATTTCCGATACCTATTGTTTCTATTTTTATTACAATGCTGTTATAGTTTATTTTCATGTATCATTTAATAGATCGCATGTTGTTTGACCCTAAAACATCTTATTGCATGTTATATTGCTGTCACTGTGTAAAGATTGGTTCTTGTTACATTTGACTCATTCAGATTAGTTTATTGTCATAAGAAAAGATAAAATAGTTTAACAAGACAATATGCAAAATTAATTGATGATGAACTATGGTAAAAATGTGATATAACATATTATTTCATTGACACAGTACCAAAATAATAACTGAATAAAAGTGAATTTAATATTGTCTTGTGCCTTAATACGAATGCCACATTAAAATGTAAGTAACTTAATTTATAATTATTGCACAATGATTATTTTTTCCGATACATTAATAAATTTATATAAAAAAATAATTAAAACGTGAATTATCCAATTTAAACCTTGGTATATTAAATACATAATACTTAATACTTAAATTTAAAAGAATATAATAGCAAAAAGAACATAAAAAGAATCTCAAATTGATAAATTTGTAAATGGAATTTCACATAGGTGCGAAATTACCTCTTAATTTCTTCTCTGTTCTTTTTGGATCAACTTTCATATTCATCTGGACGAAGCTCGCAAGGGTATAACCGCTTCTTCCCTTTTTTTAATTAATCTGTCGTTTCCTGAATTTTGGTCATTAATTATTACACTAAAAAAATTACATATTATTTTTCTTGTTTTCTGTTAGTTGTCTTCATAATACCTACTATACATATTTTAAAAAAAATCAGATAGTTTCTATAAAATTATTATTGTGGCCTCTTATCGCAATTGTCATAGATATAGTTAAAGATATATATTAAAGAGCTTCTCACATAGTCACAGTTTTCTGTACACAGTATTAAATATAACAGTATCGTCAGTCATTTTTCTAAACGTGGTAATTGCAGTAAATCATCACAATAATGGCCACCGGTCCGGGTATTTAAAGTTTTGATTCTAATCGAATAAGTATTCAGTAGCCTCTATTATTTAATTTTATCAATGACTTATCATTCGTTTATTTAGCAGTAAGTAGATGGCGCTATTGTTAGATGAAATAATGAAAGCCAAAACTATGCTATCTAGTAATATCAGCGATAGAAGGTTGGGGTGCAACTAGAAATCCGCAAATATTTATTTATAATAAGGCATAAAGTTGCGTTGATTCTACTAAAAACTCTTTTTATGTTAAAAATACGCTATCAGCGCAACAACCTATTTGGCGATATGACCATAATATTATGAAATAGCAATGTTGTTTAGTTATTTGAGTTAAATATCGTCAAACGATCTCTATTTATTGATTCGGACAAGCTACATTTAGACATGGTCAACAAAAAGTGTTAAATTACTACTGCTAATTCACGAAATAATAGACTACTTTAAGATATGATCAGTCTGCGATTTGGCCACGACATATATAAAAATCTCTTTAATCAAACTATAATGAAAATTTTGCAATAATTGCAGGCAGACCAGTTTAAATCAGTTTACATATACACTAGTAATTGAACTAAAAACCATATAGATTTTCATATTTTTGATAAACTTCACTATTATCAATTTGGATTATAATCTACACTTTTAAAATGAAATAACGAAAAAGCCAAAAAAATTAAGATTTTTAAATAATTTTATATATCTCATTATTTTAACATACAAATGTAATTTATTTAAATATATTTTATATTACTTAGCAACTTATAAGACAAAATGTACTTTTTCTATTTGATAATAGATGTTTTAAATACTAAAATTTAGATCGACGAATTTAGATTAACACTAAATTGGAACTTTATTTATAAATATGGTATTCATTTGAAAAAACACTAGTCACTGTAACTAACAGAATCATAATAGAAAATTAACATTTAAAGAAAGAAAGTTACTTTAACTTCTTTTTTGAAGTACTTTAATTGCATAAAAATTAGCCTATAAATTGCCCCGGGTTACTAACTACCTAGATACAACATTGCATGGAAATCGGTCCAGTAGTTTTTGCCATGAATCGTGAATAGACAGACAGAAAGACAGACAGACAGATAAACAAAATTTCTAAAAACTACTAATTTGTTTTCAGTACTCTTTACTTAGTCCCCTGGACTTGTTATTTCAAGAATATATTAGAATTACAGTCACGACTTTTGCACAGATTTACAATTTGTAAATAGATTCTATAATTGTTTTTACTAGATCGTTTTAACCTTTCTTCGCCATCGTTCTATATCATTTAGAGTTAACACGCATTTTCAAGGCAATATGCTAACTCACCTGGAGGTTAAGAAATGGAAACACCAACACCTAATGTCTTATTTTAACAGGTTTCATGGGAATCCGCAACTTTAGGATTTTGGTACACGGAACTTTTAGAACGAGAGCAGCAATACAAAACCTGGTTGCGTGACGGAAGACCACACACATTTTGGATGACCGGATTCTTTAATCCTCAGGGCTTTCTGACGGCTATGAGACAGGTTTTCATTTCTCTGTATTACTTTCTGATTAACTTGTGGTGAAAAATAGCATATCAAATGAATAATACTTTATTTTCACTTATTGTACTTTATTTTTGTAGCAAAGATTACTTTATTTGCTCAAAAAAGGTGGCAACCATAATTAATTAATATTAAGTAAGCGTCAGCTGAAATACTGCTGGCAGTGCTAAATACTGCTGCGTGTAGAGTACGTAAGCATTTTATATTTATTGTTTAAGGTGTTTAAATAAATATTATTCCCGTGACTCGGAAAAGCGTGTAAGGCCGTTGCTGACGTACAGGCTTGTTTTATAAACGTTATGGTGGTGAAATTTTTAGTTCTAAACAATTATCTAGGAATGGGACGATACCACAGAAATCTAAATAATATTAGGTATTATATTTAGATTTCTGTGGACGATACCGATCCTATGATGATATATCAGCTGATATAATCTGGTAGCAGATATATCGGGATCACCGAACATTTATCAACCAATACAAACAATTTGAAAAGCAAGCAAATGAATTACACACGTTGTCGTGTCAGACAGAATGGCTAAACTAAATAATATTTATACTTACTACTTTTCACAGTATTCTACATTACATTTTAATCACTTTTTTTATTTATTCCAAGCAGAGAAGCTACAATCCCACCTGATGGTAAGTGGTTATGTAACCTAATATGGTGAAGCGCACTGACTTAACAAAAACCTATTTAATCTTGCCTTGAAGACACCCACACTGTAGTCGGATGGAAAGACAGATGCTGGCAACTTATTCCACTCCTTTACTGTACGTATGATGAACGATGTAGCAAACCGTTTGGTTCGTATGCGTGGCAAGTCAACAACGAAAGAGTGGAGACTGGCCGAACGTCTGGTTGTCCGATGGTGGGAGAGGGAGAAATTAAATTATGCAATTCCTGCGCACGCTCTCCGAAATGCATCTTGTAGAAAACCGAAAGGCTGGCCACTTTGCGCCTGTCTTCAAGGCTGGTAAGATTGGTTTTAACAAAATTCGGGTCACCAATAAGCCTCTTAGCACACCTTTCCATTGAGTCCAAAGCTTCTGGGTAGCATTTTACATCACCAGCCCATATATGGCAGCAATACTCCATGCACGACCAGACTTGCGCTTTATATAAAGTAAGCAACTGTCCTTGTGTAAAGTATCGCCGCACCTTTGCAAGGACTCCTGTAGCTGCTTTGGCCTTAGACTCAATGAACCGCCCTAAGTTCAGATTTGAGGATATCTCAACCCCCAGCAACTGGGATGTGGTCGGTGTATTCCAGCGATACATTTCAGAAAGAAGGTGCCAAGGTAAGCTGGCTCCTTTTTGCAGTAAGGAGACACGCTTATGTTTTGGAGGCGACGAACTTCATAAGAATAGCATCGACCCATTCGGAGACTGCCTGTAGTGTGAGATTCACACGCTCTACCATAGTTTCTCTTTCGGACTGGATTTGATCCCGACTGTACCGAGGACTTGGTTAGTATCTCTCCTCAACTGTGATGTCGTCTGCGTACCTATAGATACCGGGCATCAAACAAATCATTAATATGCAGCAGGAAGAGAGTTGCGGAGAGAACGGACCCCTGGGGAACACCGGCGTTAGTCGTCACAGGATTGGATGAGCAGCCATTAACGACGACCCGTAGAGACCGTTCACTCAGAAAGTCCTTTACCCAGTCAATCAGATCAGGCGATAAGCCGTACGATGGAAGCTTATCCAAAAGGCTAGCGTGCCAAACTCTGTCAAGGGACTTCGAGACATCAAGGGAAACAGCAAGTGCTTCTCCACTGTTCTCGAGTGCCTCGCCCCATACGCGTGTGGCATATGCTAGAAGGTCCTCAGCTGACCGATTTCAGCGAAACCCGTATTGCCGGTCACTAAGGAGGTCATACTGTTCTAGGTATGCCATTAAGCGGGCGTTCAATATAGGCTTCATAATCTTGCAGAGTATGGGGACAATTGAGATTGGTCGATAACTGGCAGAGTCGGCACGGCTGCTTATTTGGGAACGTTGGCCACCTTCCAGGATTTTGGCACTATTCCAGTCTTAAATTGGAAGGTGTCTGTGAACTGTGAACACAGGATACAACTCAGGTACACAAGCCTTTAAAACTATTTAGCTGGTATACCATCTGGTCCTAGTGGACCAGTAAAGCTAGTGCTTTATTCACATCTAGACACCGCAAGGTTTTGAGAACCTCCTTATTTGTGATACGAACCTCTGACATAGTGATCCCGCAGGCGAATTGGAAGTCCCGCAGTGATCCAATTTAGCGTGGAATGTTTGTTACTGCCCATAATGCTTTTTTGGAGGACTTGGCGGCCTGGTTGAAAGTTCTCTTCTTGGAGCTGATATCCGGAGCTTTGCGGTTTCAAGCGACAATCCAGGACAGGTACGCTAAATTCTTGCGTTTTTCAGCTTGAGTGCATTTAGCGTTAAACCTTGGGCGAGCTTAGCTACCGGTGGGTGCGTCAGAAAAGGGCATAAAATACTGCATAGCTTGACGCAACAAATCGGTTATCGAATCCGTGCAACTCGACGGATCCGCAGAAGAGAGACAGACCTCTCGCCAAGGATAGGTTGCAAAAAAGTGTCGCATCTCAGCTGACTTGTATCGCTATATTCGTCGAACACCTTGGGACTCGTAATCAGGTGAATATGACGATACAGATTTCACCAGACAGTGGTCAGATATACCCAAAGGGGAGGTAACCTGTACTTCACACCTGTCAGGTTCGGTAGTCATCAGAAGTTCTAAGCAATTGGCTGTGTGACTATCTACATCGGGTACCCTAATCGCTTCCCTTACCAGCTGAGAAAGACCCAGCGTCAAGACAAAATGCTTCGCTTCTCTTCCAGCATGGTCGGTTTTCTGGTATGAGAAAAGCCAGTCTTGACAGGCGTTAAAGTCCCCCAAAAAGACCAGCTGTGCAGTAGGATACCGATTAAGGGCCACATCAGCAGCCTCCATAAGATAATCAAATAATGATGTTGTCTCCTGGTCGGCTTCTCAGTCTCAAAATGGTGATGGACTGCACTGAGATTAGAGTGCAATCCTCGAATATTAGTGAGGTGCACTTTTAATGAGAGGACGTGCAACCGCTGTTTAGCCATACTTTTCTTTTTGTCGAAAAAGAAAAGTATGTGTCGACATATTACAGAGTTAAGAATAAATATGGATGAAGAATGGTAGTTGAACGAGAGCTACTGCGCCCTTGGGAACTTGATCTGGAGACTGCGGGACCATGTGTAGATTTCAAGTATTTCTTACGGACGCGAGCAGCCTCATCCCCCGAAATTTTTCATTAGTTCAAACCATTAAATGACCATTAATTATTAACATAAGTACCATTGGTCTGAGGACATGTTTTTCACGTGTTGGTTAACCTCTTTAGATCCGTGAATATCATTTATTCATCTTTGATTTTTTTTTTGAGAAATAAAGAAAGCGCGTAGTGCAAAGTCTGGACTGTGAGCAGGATGGGCTGCAAGCCCCACCTTTTCAGGAGCCAAAAATGGCTTTGTTGTGTTAGCGGTTTGCGCCTAATCATTGTCATAGTACAACAGAATGCGACTTCTTGGTTTTTTTCCCTAACTTTTTCGAACACACTGCAAACAAATAATGATGTAGCACGCAGCATTAATTGTCTTTTGCTCAACAACTGGGATCGTGCAGACAGGATCCGTCAGGGTCAATCTCTTTTCTACAACTCTCATTTTCTTTAACTCATTTTTTTTACCCAGTGCTTTTACCTACTCTAATTTTGTTAGTTTGCTGTTGCCTTCAAACACCCATAGAAGAGACTGTTGCTTTCTTTCCGGAATGTAACAATATGTCCATGTTACATCTTTTGTCACAATGTCATACACAGCTTTTGAACGTCCGTGTTCATACTTATATTGTGCTTATGACCTGCCTTCATAGGATAACTTTGTATCGTAGGATAATTATTTCGTGGATATATCTTGCGCTCTAATCTTAAAAAAATTATCATTTTATAGACTTCATTTCATCCTCATATTTCCTGGATACTCTTTTCATTATAGAATAAGGGTGACAAACGAGCACATAGTCCACCTGATGGTAAGTGGATGCTGTGGCCCATAGACATCTACATTTATCTTCGATTCAAAATCAAAACGCAAATGCGTTGGATCTCTAGACTCACCATACGAAACACAGCAGTATTAAGCTACTATTTTACGCTGCTATTTTACGAGAGCGTGGTCTTTCTCCGGTCGAGCCGACCCATTCGTGCTGCAACCATAATATAGCTGCAGCGTGACTCTATCACGTATGTTCTACTCGTGTAAAAACTTTGTCAATATAATATCAGTCAGGCTTTGGAGAGATTTTCTTTCATGTTATGATAATCCTTAAATAACAATTTGTGTAACTACATTAAGTTTTTCCATTAGGAAGTAACAAGAAGTCACAAAGGTTGGGCCCTGGACTCAGTAGTTCTGCAAAATCACATAACTAAGCTTAATCGAGAAGACGTGCACGAAGGACCAACCGAAGGTGTCTACGTTTACGGCCTGTTTCTTGAAGGTTTTTATTGTACATTTCAAATGGTTACTACAAAAATAGCAATAACATATTTTATTTCTTTTTGAAACTGGGTAAAAAGAGGCCTTCCTTGATGATTCCTTTCCTTACCTTGGTTTACTTTAGCACATACTTTTGTAACATTGTGATAACTGGTAACATTGTGATAACTGGTAACACGTAGAATGTCGCGGATAGTGATTTTAATATTTAAATCGTCTTAGTTTTGGGTTATTCCGAAAAATTATACTCGGAAACGCGTGTCCGTTTAAATTATTTTTCGTATATTATTTTACTTTTCTCAATAATGATGATAATATGACGGCGTTTGTGAAATACTATGAAAAAGATGGTTCAAGGACGAAAATTATGTTTCTGTTTGGAATTCATTTGGAGTGCCTCATAGAACTACAAATTGATTAGAATCTCGGCATAAAACTATTTCAAATGAAAACACAAACGTTAAAAGTTAGTATAGTTTTTGGATTGCTTGTAAAAAAACTCCCATTATTGCCAACACGTCTGTTATAACAAAACAATTTAGAAAACGATTTCAAATGTACATTAAATGAGACGAATTTATCAAGGGTATACAATAACGTCTACTCAATAATTAAATTAATGTTGGTCATTTTCTGGACATATTGCAATACTCAATTAAACTTTCTCGTTTAAATAATATACATAACTTATTATTTAAAATGCAGAAGTTTAATTTAGTTTAAATGCAACACGATGATTTTTGTTAAGTTTGAGGTTATTAAAAATTAATCAATGCTTAGTATATTTAAGTATGAATACATTTACTGTTGAACTGTAAAAGTAAATTAAAGTTACAGCCTATATACGTCCCACTGCTGGGCTCAGGCCTCCCCTCATTTCTGAGAGGGTTTAGGGCAAAAAAGTGTCCGCCGCGCTGCCCAAATGCGTGTTGACGAACTTCACATGTCTTCGAAATATTTCTTATTCCTCAGACTTGCGGGTTTCCTCGCGATGTTTTCCTTCACCGCCGAGCGTAGCACTTAAAATTGCAATTAACAATTTCATTGGTGCCGGCGGGGATCGAACCCGGGTTACTCGCGTTCTGTTATATTTACAGCGAGCGTTATATTTACCATTACTATAAACACCATTACCATGGCTCTTGTTGAACTGTACTTGGGGTAAAAAGGCGGAACAATAATGAAAATATAAATTCCGGTTATCCACCCCGTCCGGGTGGATAAACGAACACGCGTTTCCGAGTATGCACCCTAGGATGGATTTCTTAGGGTGGATAAATTGGAATAACCCGGTAGATTTTGAGAAATCTCAAAAATGAACTTTTCAAAAAAAGATTTTTGGAAATAACTTTTAAACGGATGTAATAATCAATACCAAAATCTTTTCAGCTCTTAAACATAGAAAACGACGTCGATTGCTGCGAACCGCTTCAAAAGCAGTTAATGCGTTGAAGAGAAATCAATGGGTGCGTTTGGCAGAAAAAAGCGCTAGCAAGCGCTTACAAGCGCTAAAATAGTTTTCGGCCAGGACACGATTGCTACTTCAATAGCGCTGACGCAATCCGCCATTTTGCTTATTTAATTTGTTTGTATTGAAGTAGAAATTATAAGTTGTTTTGTGCAATATTAGTTTTAAGTAATATAATGATATGAATAGACATATACATGTTATTAAAAATTCATGATTGGTAAGTTTTTAATATGAATACTTTACAAACATATATTTAAATTAGGTTAGGTTCCCCGGTTAAAACTAACATCGTGTCCTGGAGGAAAATAGCTACTTACGATTTGACAGCGCTTATCGCTTACGATCGCCATTTTGCTTACAAGCGTTTGCTAGCGCTTTTTTCTGCCAAACGCACCTCGATATTACTAAAAATTTCAAAAAAAGTGTTTTTTCCCCTTAATTTTTGAATTTATAGTCTAATATTTTTTTATAAGAGATTTTATTATTGTTCTTAAATTACCTCGGTAATTGTCACCAATTACATAACAATCAATGATCCGTTCGAAAGTTATCGTTGGCAAAAAATTTCAATAAGTGTTTTTTCTAATAATTTCGAAATTTCTGCTCGAATCTTTTTTTAGTTCGTAAAAATATCTGTCGAACATAGCGGGAAGTTCCAAGGATGGCCTGCAAAATCAACCGTTTTTCAGATTTTTTATGCAAGTTGAAGTAAAAAACCAAAACACGGAGTTCACCTGATAGTGAGTGGATACCTACTCTGGCCAGGGGTAGATCGTATCCGTTTTAATTTAGTTTCAATAAAGTATACTTGACGCGTTCACTTGGTATTTCTTTTTAGTGTTATTTATTTATTTTATCCATATTTCTTTCTTAGTTTTCATTAATTATTAATTCTACCGTCAACTATGATGTTTCCAATAATTTCAAAAGGAATTAATATATAAGTCAATGGATGTTTCACTATACCGGGCGTCCTGTGACGGCCATCTTTTTTTCGCATTGCTTCTGATTGATGGTAGAAAACCATAAGTTTATGTTACATTAGATCGTCAACGACTCTAACGGGAGACACCCACGTCCAGCAGTGAACATTCGAGGCCTAACCGAAAAAGGAAAGGATTAAAAATACATTTATTTTGCAGGAGCATCTTTGGATCGAAAAACAGGAAAACTAATAGAATCCAAGCCTAAAGTGCTTTACGAACAAATGCCTGTCATATACATATTCGCAATAAACACAACTGCGGGTAAAGATCCAAGATTGTACGAGTGTCCAATTTACAGAAAGCCTCAAAGAACTGACGCAAAATACGTCGGTTCTATCGACTTTGAGACTGACAGCAACCCTCGACATTGGACGTTGAGAGGCGTGGCACTATTGTGTGATATTAAATAAATAAGTACGAAGCGATGAAAAATTAGCCCTTTTATTTAAACCTTTTACACTCTGCAATAACACACTACACACATTATTCAATCACAAGACTCTATTAAGTTAAAATAAAACATAAACTTAAGATCATGTACATAAATAATTACAAAGTAGTCAGTTGTCCTCGATGAACGAAGAAAACGACAGACACGCGAGACGCGATGCGATGTAAAAATATTAAATATGAGCTATTCGCTCGGCTTCGATGTCGACAACAATACACCTAATAGGTCCAACTGTGAATTTAAACCATCCAGAGATCTACTCAAACTCGCACAACATTTTCATGAAAATCACTCCAGCCGTGAAGGAACAATTCAGTGACAAACACAAGTACTGAATAATTGATATACTCGTATTACAAAATTCTAATCATTTCCTTCTCCCACACCAACAATCGGAATGTTCATATATATTATATATATGAATATTTCGATTGATTGACTATTGCATCTATTTCGTAGTTAGAAAAACTGTTAAGTAATGCTACCATACATTCCGGTACAGCGGAAAATATCCGGTTTGAAACGTATATTCTTGTGTCTAGGAAAATAAGTTAATTGTCCCCGCAAGTGAAATATAAATATTATAGTATAAGTTTGTTTCAAAAAAGCTACACAGTCCTCCAAAAGATAATAATCTTATATTGTATAACGTTAACGTTAACAAAAGGTAGGCAGCCAATTGTTAAGAGTATGTACAAGAAACGAGCTACCTCATTGCCCTCCTTCCGTCGAGCAGTCGAGTAAAAAGGCTGTATGTGTGGCCGACCTTGTTAAGTTTCGCCCGGGGTCGCGTCGTGATTTGTCGTTTATAGTCACTTACCTAGGACAATGTTTTAATAGAAGTCTTTTTGTTTTAACGTAAGTTTTTTAAATCTTGCTTTGTAAAAACCTAAATGTTTAAATAGTTTTAAAACGTACATTATCTGCGATTGGTTCAAAAATAATACATAATATTACAGACACATTGATGAAATCAGACTAAAATCACATCCAATTATAAAAATTTCTTAACTTCGTCGTACAACACCAAAACTAAAGCGCCTCCAGTGCCTCGGAGGACATTCGAGAAGGCGCCCTTGAAGAAGGCACGGGGACCTTCGGTACGAAGAATTGTGGCCCAGCAGTGAGCAGTACTTTTATACTGCCGCTCGTGCACAGGTCGTCCCGACTGCATCATCATTCTTCGCCTTACAGTATCCAGTGGGTACGATGTAAAGCCAGCGAAAGTTGTCACAGTCTGTACGATATAATATGGCTATATAAGTAATTTAAAAATGTATACCTTTGTAAAAATAAATTAGGGAAATTTTATGAAAACTGATAGTAGAAACGGACTATTAATTATAGGAGTGTAATAAATAAGGCAACGAATGAGTAGGTAAATGGTGTCAAAGGTTAAAGAATCCTGGTAATTTGATACTGCGATCCTAAGTACACCTGCAAAGCGTGGCACTTTATAGTTCCTACTATTTGTCTAATATTAAGAAGCCTACGTTTACAAGTCATATTCATTAACTTTCAATTTCCGATAGTTGTCATATTATATTGCTACAGTAATGTTTTTTATCAATTAATTACCTGTGCTATAAGCCACGATAGGAGCAGCGGCGTGTTTTTAGGATCCGGCAGCATACCACGGGCAGTGTCGTAAAAACCAAAGTAAGTAGCTCGATAAATAATAATGCCTTGAACAGAAACAATGAATCCGCGATAAAGACCAATTGGACCATCCGACTTTAGAGTTTTGAGTAAACAATCAATTAAGCCTTTAAATTCTTTATTCTTTCCTTTACCGACGTCAGCTGCTAACCTGAATATAAGGGATAAATGTAGAATATTCACATTTACAATTGCGGTGATAATTCTTATTTCATATTAAATTAAAGTAAAGTTACAGCCTATATACGTCCCACTGCTGGGCTCAGGCCTCCCCTCATTTCTGAGAGGGTTTAGGGCAAGGAAGTGTCCGCCACGCTGCCCAAATGCGTGTTGACGAACTTCACATGTCTTCGAAATATTTTTTTTCTTATTCCTCAGACATGCAGATTTCCTCACGATGTTTTCCTTCACCGCCGAGTAAGTGGTAAATCAGCACTTAAAATTGCAATTAACAATTCCATATCGTGATTATTTCATATAAATTATATATTTATTAATCTTGTAATCACCTAGTTCGCGCATAATCTAAAGGATATACGAAACATAACGAAGTCGCTCCAGCCGCACCGCCAGATGCCAGATTCCCAGCAAAATATTTCCAAAAACTAACGTTTTTGTCGACACCTGCCATAAAAAGCTTTTTGTATACATCCCTGAATGCAAAATTGAGAGCTTGCGTCGGAAAATATCGGAGAACGTTTGCAAAATTTCCTCGCCATAATGACAATATTCCTTGCTCCTTAGGTATGCGTACGAGTGTGTCCAAGATCCCTTTGAAAATAGATAATATTAAGTTTGGTAGAATAGAAACTTACACCTTTTATTAAAGCAAATATTTTTATAAGCATCACCTTTATATCGCTTATCTTCTGTAATCTGTTGAGAAACATGTTGCACTTGTAAAATTAACTTCACTCGTTCTATCGGTGCAACAGCGGTCTTTGAAACTGCTGCTGAAATGCCCCCCGCAAGAAAATCTTTCAGAAAGGCAGTGGCCTTATCATCTTTTTTGAGGCCTTTATCGTCCTTCTTCGTTTCGTCCTTGTTAGTCATTATGACAAAAATACTCAGATATCTTGAATATTTTTAACGGGTTATTATTTTAAAAACAAATTATTTAAATCTTAGCTTAAGGTATAATCATAAAATACTCATCCTATTTTATGCACGATAATTCCATTAAATATTTAAATCACCATTTTAATCAATAACAAAATGACAATATGAAATGTGCCAACTTTGACGTTGAGTTAAGTTTTTCTATTAAATTTTAAAAACAGAATAGGCAAGAGATCTCCTTGAAAGACACAATATTTGAGAATAATATTTTTTTTTTCAAAATATTTGTATTATAAGCTTGTACGTCGAAATTATAACTTTTGGCTGCTGGTGGTGAACTGAAGGTGTTTAGAACCGAACGTCTTTGTCCAGCATTGGAACTTCACAAATCTACAACTGAACAAAGGTCTCCCCTAATTTCCATAGTTGGCATTCATGGACATTTACTCAGTGCTTGTAAGTACACTAATACGATCTCGTTAGTATTGAGAACGTGTGATTATCTCCTCATCAGATGGAATACTTCAACTTATGACTAGTTCCATTGTTACCATAACTTACAGAACCATTGGACTGTGCCAGTAACAAATCCATCAAATGTTAAAAGCACAGTTGTGACTACGATTATTTCAATACTACGGTGTCATCAGAAGTGATGCTCTTAAATTAATTATTTCACATTTATGTGACAGAACGCAAAAAGTTGTCATTAATAGTATGAGTTCTTCCGGGTCAATTGTACAAAAGGATTTTTCTTGTATATATTAATAACTTACCTTACATAGTAGAGGATAACCATGATATACTATTGTTTGCTGATGATACTTCATTAATTTACAAAAGAAAACGACGGTTACTAAATTATGACTAAGTAAATAATGCTATATCTAAATTAGTATATTGGTTTGACGTTATTAATTTTCATTTAAATGGCACTAAAACTAAATGTTTGAAATTTATAACTCCCAATGTCAAACATGTTCATACTTATGTAATTTTTAATGAGGAGCTGAGCCTTGTCAATACCACCGTTTTTCTTAGAATCACACTAGACGCAAAGCTTCAAATGGGCCCACCATATATCAAAACTAGCAAGCGGACTTAATTTTGTTTTTAAATATGAGGGGGCAAACGAGCGTACGGTTCACCTGATGTTAAGTGACTACCGCAGCCCATGAACAACCGCAACACCAGGGGAATCGCAGGTGCGTTGCCGGCCCTTTAAAAAGGAGTGAGTGAAATACTGTCCCGCTCTACTGAGCACGCCAAGCTTTTTAGAGGCCAATTTGGCCTTCTCTCCCAAGTGGCCACGAAACTGCACGTTCCTTGATATGTCGATACTGGCTGAGGCAACTGCCTTGAAACTGAGGTGATACGACAAAGGGGTTCTTTTTAACGGCTAACGCGCAAACTTGTGTGGGGTTAAACTAGACTAGAATTAGTCGCCCCCAATCCGAGACTTTGTTCAGCAAAGACTCAGACAAAGTTTTTGTGGTTACAGAGCATACCAGTGCTGTCATCTGCATAGAATTAATGTTACAGATTTGCAACATATCTTTGACATTCAGAAGAAACAGCGTTTGTGATAGCACGCAGCCTTGTGGAACACCAGCATTAATAGGCTTGCAATCGGAGCTTGCACCGTCTACAACGACCTTGATGCTCTGATCTGCTAGAAAGCTGGTGATCCAATTGCACAATTTCTCGGGAAGCCCATAGGAAAGAAGTTTCGAAAGAAGCACTTTGAGGCCAAACCCATCAAGGCCTTCGATCCAACGCCTCCCCCTTGGACTCTACTGCCTCCGCCCATCTATGACTTAGGTAGACCAGAAGACCACCAGCTGATCGACCACGACGAAAACCGTATTGGCGATCACTAATCAGCTGGTGATCCTCAAGGTACCTCATGAGCTGGCTGTAAGCAATAGACTCCATTATTTTGGAGAACAAGGAGGTGATGGCGATAGGCCGGTAGTTGGACAGGTGTGAGCGATCGCCTTTTTTAGGGATCGGGTGGACGAAGCCGTCTTCCATGATTTTGGGACTACGCCTACGGGAGTATGAGTACCGGAAAAGATGCGTTAAGACCGGTGCCAACCCTGGATCACACGTCCTGAGTACAATTGGGGGGATACCGTCAGGCCCACTCAACTTGTGAATGTCCAAGTGTGTGAACTGTGTGTACCGCACCTTCAGGATGGAGCTATCACACCGCGGGATAATTGGCGGCGTACTTCCCCC